TAATAGGGAGCACACTTGAATTACTGTTTGTCAAGCATTTGCCACTTCAATCCTACAGAAAAAAAAAAATTAAAAATCTGTATGTGTGATTGCTGAAATTGATTTCTGGAAGTACTGAGGTCTGCAAGTTGATAATGCTCCATTTATTCTCAGTGAAAACAGTCAATAACAATATCACAAAAGATGTCAATGGGAATTAAGGATGTAAAGTATCTTGTAGTCATGGTTTTCATCTTTGTGTGATATGAAGAAAGCACTTTTGATCATGACTGCAATAATCTGCATTTATTAAAAAACGTTCCTTTAACCATCAATCTGTACCATTGCAGTGAATGGCCTCCAAATGTACATATTCAGAAAGCAGGAAAAACATGGGGAAAATCCCTCACAATAAAAGAGTCACTGTACACACCTGGTTTTATGTATTTTGCTTTCTGCATAAAACAATAAATATAGAAATAAAATAATAATAACAACATAGAAATAAATAATAAATCAGTAAGAAATTAATAACAAATGTGTGGTACATAAATACAAATATGAATTATGAAAATATAATTTTGCATTTATTCCAAATGAAGATATTAGAAGGAGTTTGAGCAAATAAGAATGAATTGGAAGTGATACCATTCTAGCCAGTTCCTAGGCTCTTCACGAATTGCATCATCACAGAAAACAATGACCAAGATCCATGGACTGAACACTGGGTATTTAAAAATTACTATTAAAAATTCCTTATGCAACATGAGAAAAGGGGTGCAAACTTTTCCATCAAAAGACTGTACTAATCTGTTAAGAGAGCTATACAGAATTAATATTGTCTGTAGAATTAATGTTGTAGCCCCTTGTAGGAGTAATCTGGCATGATTGCTCATGTCGCCCCATCTCCTCAAGCCACTGGGAATTACTCCTACCTACCCAAATATACTTGAGAGAACAGAACATATTTTAGTCCAACAACAGCCATAAATAAGGAAGAGGTTCTTAACAGCAGTCTTCCTGTTGTTAGCCTGACAAAGAAGGATAATTCTCCAATGCCCTGACAGTCACATGGAGATTACAGCCCCCACTGAGGAAAAGGCAGAGATGCAGAAGCATCTACAACATGAAGTATTTATCTTCATGTTAAGAGAATAAATAAAAAGACCCCAAATTGTAAATTACCAGAAGAAACACTCTCTGAAAGAGTTGTTTTCAGTATCCTCAGTCCCTGTGCATCCCAGCATTTCACTCTACTACAAAGAGTACTTTCTCCCACTGCACTACACAGATGAAGCATTATAGCAGTAGGGTTGTAATAATCCCCACTTCAGGAGAGAGCAAGAAAAGAACCTGAAATGTACAGACTGTGCAAGGGTCCCATTTAGCTAATCTGTACGTGACAGCCTCTTTGTCTGCAGCCTTCTATGACCTCTTGATGTCAACAAGTATATTTACTATAAAGGTTCTTAGGAAAAGATTACGGTACACTCGTCCAACATCTGTGGAAACTCTGTAAATTTGGAAATTGCCTTTTTAATAAATTAACTGAAGCTTAAATCTTACCAAAATTAATTGGATAACACTTTTTTTTCTTCATAATGACAGAAGTTAATGCTGAAACCCAAGCTGTAATAAGTTTCTCATAGAACACTTTGATTTCATAATCAATTTCTAGATTTTTTTTTGAATGAATGAATGCAAGAGTGCTATAAGACAGTGCTATTTTTGGCCCACCATTGATGCACTTGCTGTCTTGTGTCAAGGTATTCCTACCTCAGTTTCTTCTACTATTTAAAATTAGCAAAATAGTATCTAGCTGAGTTCAATGAAAATTTTCTAAGCACCAGTAACTAAACCAGCACAGCTCTATACTCCAAGAAACTTCTACTCCCTGAAACAGAGCATAAAGTTGAAGAGGAGCTAAGATGAAAACCAGCTTACAATAGAAGTGTACTTCAGCCGGTCCAGAAGGGGGAAAGTCCAAAGGATCGATCCAGGTCCAGGCGCCAGCAAAGGTTAACCTGATCCGTTGTTTTTGCCTAACATAACACATTTCCTTAGTACATGAACTGAGAGCTGTCCTGTTTCTCATGCAGCAGCTCCATCTGCTGAACCAGTACTACGTTTACAGAATAAAAAATTAAACTGACTTTAATTTGAAATATCTCTGCAAAATTTTCAAACGCTTGCCCATTCAGTCCTCCTGCATGAATGGAACCAACAGCCAGCCTTTACCTACCCGTGTAAACCAACTAACTAAAACGAAAATATAACAGGAAAAAACAATCATATGTGATTATCAGGATTCTTCACTCATACAGCTTCAGAACTAGACTTCTCGCAGCAAACTCTGATTCTTCACTATCTGCAGTTGTTTAGTGCTGTGCTGCCCAAAGGTACCATGTTACCAACTCACACTAGTGATGTACTGCCACTCACTTCACCCCACAACAAATGTGCCCAGGTATTCAGGCACTACAAGATGTCTATGGCGATTCTTAGTTACTTAGGAGTGGGGGGTTTTTTGAGTTGCACAGACATAAATTTAAGCTTATCATTCTGAAGATGAACTAATTTCTTAAAAAAAGAGTTCTGTTTCTTTTATGCAGTGCAGGGCCCTGAGAACTCAAACTTTCCACAATTTGCATTCATTTACCAGGAGCACTATGAAGAGTTCTGTCAGTAACAGAGCAGTTGTGGCAAAACCATATGGACCCAGAGCTTGTAAATTCAATCAGACCAGCTCTGAACCTCGTGGCACTCAGTGATTCTTGATCTGTTTACAACTGCTCTGGCTCCACAAGGGTTTGTTAGCTTGGGCGATATACCTCCAATATGATACATGCTGTAACTACTGAACCCTTCCAGTAACCCCTGTTTCTGGGCAGCATTGCAGAAACTATTTAATCATCAGCCAGCTCATGAGCTGTGGCTCACTGCTGGCCACAGGCGCACCAGCTGACACCATGGCAATCACGGGGCGTACTACTAGTGTGCCTTCATCACCGGAGTCATCTTGGTTATTCATTACACTCAGTATCTCAGCCCTTGATCCAGTGGCTAGTGGAATGTGTATCCTAATCAGCTTATTTTACATCGGTCTGATTAGCTTCCTGGTTCTTCACGTTTTAGGGCGCACTTATTTTCACGTTTTTCTCCAATCCTATGGATACTGATGCTTTTAAATTATTAGGAAGTGAAACACGAGATTCTCACAAAATCGTTTTACTGCACAACCTAGGCCATGGCACTACAGAGCAGATATCCTTCCAGCCCTGCCTGCTCCAGACCCAGCTCACCCTCCTGAGCCCTGCAGCGCAACCTGGTGCCTGGCAGCCCCGCACCCCCTCCCTGAGCCCAGCAGGGCGGGCAGCAGGAGAGCCCAGCCAGGGAGTCCCACCAGCAGCAGAAACCCATAGGTCTCACCTGGGCTTAGAATTCAGTTTTGGGGAGGGTTAAAGAAAGAATAACCTCATAGTCTTGTCTTTTGGGGTTTCTAATACGCCTACTCTTGATTTAAAAAAATAACATCAAAGACTTCAGACCATAACTACAGCTTAAATACTACTTACACCTTTTAAGGGAAAAATCTTGTTTTACCAAATCCACTGGGGGTTTTACTGTGATTTTAGAACATATACAGTCCAGTCATTGATCCTTTTAATGGATTTAGTAAAAGGCATTCACAGTATTTGGAACAATGATCCACATACTGGAATGTGTTCACTCATACTGAAAATATTGTCACATAATAGAATATTATTTCCCTAGTTTATTTTTTTGTTCTTTGCATTTACAAGGAGTTTTGTAACATCTCCAAAATATTCTCCGTTACTCATTTCCAGGTGTGACTCCCACATCCTATTTCTCTACCTGTCAACAGACAGTAAGTTGCTGCAGTGTCTAGCAGAGATTGCGTGAACACATTTTTACTGGTCACCTATTCCTTGTCTTTCAGATTCCCACACAGTATTTTTGTCTCATGTGGCACTTGAAAGCCAGCAAAACACTGCAGTGCATGGGATGCCCAGTAAACATCAGCAGTTTTCTAGGTTTCTTTAATTCAGATGCTGTTGTTCAAAAACAAAACCAAAACCCCTGTATTTAGACTGTCTCTAAAAACCTACAATGCTGGAAATAACCAATGTTAAAGTAACTTGTTTCCAAGTAACTTTGGAACTAACCCAGTGTAGTTTCCATATCCTTCATGCTATGACTGAAAGGTGTTTTGTTTTGTTTTTTTTTATTTGTTTGATATGTTCACATTTACTCCAGAAGTGGACTGCTGTTAAAAGCACATTATAAGTGATTGCAATATGATAAATGTTCATATTCGTTAAAGCAAAATCATTTGGTCCAATTCATCAATGTAAAGACCTCCTTATGCAAATACAGGCATGCTTGGAGGAACAGTTCCCCAATATAAGGCAATTGCTGAATATAATTATATTCCTCCAAACTTAAGGATTAATATTGAAAACGCCCAAGTGGTATGACGACAAACATTTTATATTGTTTACTAATGACCTTAACGTCAGTCTGTCACAAGAAATAACGATGCAGTCCTACAGCGAGCGCCTAACAGCGAGCTATGGGCTCCACCCGGCACCCAGCCATGGGCAGCGCTCAAGCGGCACGTAGATATGCGTTTATACAGCGACTTATAAAACTAAGCCTACTCATACTGATTTAAAAAAAAAAATAATAGAAGAAAAGAAAGCGAGAAGACAACGAAAAAAGGCAAAGCACGGCTAGCTAACGCGCGAGGCGGAGCGCAGCGGCGCCGGCCAGGCAGCTGCGCGCAGGCTCTCCAGGCGGTGCGCAAGCGCTCCAACAGGTGGCTCCGTGGCGCAATGGATAGCGCATTGGACTTCTAGAGGGTGAAGGGATTCAAAGGTTCCGGGTTCGAGTCCCGGCGGAGTCGTGGTTTCTCTTTTTTCCATATTTATCTTTTTTCTCTTTCTTCCCACCCTCCCCTCCCGCCTGAAATCATCCTACCCCACTCTCCCGTCCCTTACCTCAAGGCCGGAGCAATCCGGTGGGCCGACCTGGCGCTTCCCGGCGGTCGCCACCCACCGGCGAGGCTCCGTGGGCCCGCCTCCCGGCCTGCCTGGCGAGGAGCGGGGAAGGCTGGGAGCGGGCGGGGACAACGGCCCCGTCCTCCACCGAGCGGCGCCGCGACCCGGCCGGCTCCGCTCGAGCCCCCGCCAGGCCCCGGCGACGTGAAGGTAGTTGCCTCGCCGTGGGGCGGCGGCGAGCGGGGCCGCGGGCCGCCGGCCCCCGGGGCAGTGGGAGGAGGGCGGGCTCTCCCTCAGGCGCCGGCCGCGCGCGGCGGGGCAGCGCCGGGGCGCGCGGGCAGCAACCGCCGGCCGCGCGCGGCGGGGGCCGGGAGCGAGCGCGCGCAGCTCGCGTTTTGAAAACGCGCAAGTAAAAAAAAAAAGCAGCAAGCGAACCCCTGCGACAGCGACAGCAACTGCCTGGCAAATCGGACAGCGCCTGCAAAGCAGCCTGTTGGTGCTGGCGTGCTTCCGGGGCAGGCTTCGTAAAGGAATTCTGCTTGAAAAACAAGACTCGGGCTCCTGCAGGCCCTTCAGCGATGCTCCGCGACACGTTTCCGGTTATTTTCAAGCAACACAACAAGCCCACAAAATGCAGCAGACAGAACTGAAGCATTTAACACTTAATGCCATGTTTTCTTCCTAATTTACACATACCTGTAGATAGAAGAGGAAGAGCCATTTTAAAAATCGCAATCAAAATTGAGCAGTAAAACAGCAGCACTGAACAAACCTTGATTTTGCTCAGGATGGAACAAATTATATATTCACCTGATCATTATTTTATTCAGTATGGGGGGGTTTTTTGATAAACTATTAGTAATCTTGCATGTGTGACTACAGCCTTTTTCAAACTGTAATAATTACTTCAGTAAAGGAAAAAATCCACCTAAGTAAAAAATGAAACACACCATCAGGAACGTCAGCTATCACTGTTTTACAGCACAGTAACCCGCTCAATGCCATCTAGTTATAAAATTTATATAGACCTTTACAGAAACATCAAACTTTCTCAGAATTTGCAGATAAACAGCAAAACCAACACCTCTACATTAACCCCATAAAAAAACTAAACCATATGACAGAAGACAGTGTTCCTCCTCGTTCAGTCACTTCCAGCAATGCATTTCAGCCCAATTACTTCTACTCTCTGTATTTAAGGATAGCTTCATAAAATTTGCTTAGTTCCTAGTGAAAAAAATTTGAAGGCAGAAGCTTTGATGTATACATGCTTGCATGTTGCAAGCAATATTTACATAACCTATACTCTAAAAATGCAGGTTAATTATGGGCTACAGTTCAAAAGAAAATGAAAAAATAGCAGGTTCAAGGAACAGGGCATTTCCTAGGGGAAAGCACATAGACAGCTCTCCTGTGATACTGGCTGTGTAACAGATTCTAGCATGAACCCAAGTGGAAAACTATAGGGACACAATTCCACAAAATATGGTATGAAGAGGATTTTGAGGAATATGTTGCACAGACAATACAGTATTTCAGAACGCATTAAGAGAATCAGGAGAAAAAAATTCAAGGATCATAGCAAGCAATATAAATTGGACAGATGCTGCTTGCTACAAATTTATGGAGTAACTGAAAAAGAAAGCAATGTGAAAGCAAAGAGGCAGTCCAACAATCAGTAATAACCCTTCTATCTTACTGGATATGAAGACCACCTTTTTTTGCCTTGAGGAGTCAACCAGACAGGCAGTCTCCATCCTTGCAGGTTTTCAAGACCTGACTGTACAAAGCCCTGAGCAACCTGGTGTAACCCTGCTCTGAGCAGGACGCTGGACAGGACAAGCTCTCATGGTCCCTTCCAACCTGCGTTATGGCAGGATTCCAAATCTCTGTAAGACTTACCTAGGTAGGCTCCTGTGATAAAGACAGGACTTTATAAAAATTAAGAGATTAAAAATAGTTTTAATATATGGAAAAAAGCAATGATAAGAAGACACCTTCAGTTTTAAGGAGACTAAGTTGATTGCAGAGAGATTAAAGACCCCCAAAGAAGGAACAATTAGTAAGTGTGAACAATAAGAACATGACAGAGAAAACTGAGAACTATTTTACTTCTGTTCCTAAACTAGCCATGCCTACTAAGTGGCACTGCATCAGCAACACCTCGGCCACTGTCAGCCTAATCCCTTTTCATTATAGTCTTTTGGCTGTGACATTAGGAGCGTTGTACAACCATAGTCTCTGCCCCAAGGGCAAGAAGAAAATACTGGCAAAATCAAGGGGAGTGTAAAAAAACAGGAGAAAGGAATTATTACTGTCCTTACAAAACATTCCAGTGACATCCAAACCAGGTGCACAGATAAAAAAAAAAAAAAAAAAAAAAACAAACAACACAACACAGTACCTACTACCCTTTAATCCTGGGGAAATTTCTTGTTAATAAAGGCAGGATTACAAATTAGCACAAACATTTCTGACAGCCAGTAAAAGAAAATATTACTTGCAATTGATAGGCAAAGTTTCTCAAATTATGATAGTGTTTCACAAATTTTTTTTTACGTATTTGAGTATTTTCAGAGAAACGTGATAATCCGGTAAAATGAGGCAATCACATGGTACATTTTGTTTTTACTCTCTCCCCATCAACCCCCTAAACCTTAGGTCAATTTCAATCAAATTTAATTGAGAGGTAGAGGAATTCAGAACACCACCTGCCTGTGCTTTTATGAAAATTGGTGTTTAAGAAAACGTACACTAGCTAGTGCCTTAACTAAAAGAGGCTGAAGCACAAGCTCAGGCAGTGGCTGCCTGGCGAGGTGGCAAACACAACCTGCAAGTGCCCCCCTGTGGCCCAGCAAACGCTGTTCAGTACAGCTCACCTCTTGTGCACACAGAGGAACAGGGGCACTTGCTGAGCACAGAGCGTGACAAACAGAAGACACTGGAAAAATCAAAGAAAGGGAAAGATACGGAACGTTAAACAAATCCCTCACTAGCTATGTTGTATGTGAAGTAACTTCTGTAAGTAGTTAGAGCAGCCTAAGAATAGACAGTGGAGTTGTTGCTTGCTGACTAACACCAAAGCTCGCATTTCTCTTTTGGAGTTGTACGTTGCTCTTCCAAAGTTGCACTTGAACATCTCAGGATGCAACAGAATGACAATTACTGTGGTGCTTTGTTTTCTTTCCTCAGTGTTCAGTATTATTTTTTTTGTGTTTTTATATCTCATCTAGAGAACAAGACATCACAGTTGTTTTTACTGTCTTTGTTATCATTTACAGAGAAGCAAGCTATTAGCATACATATAATTGTATTAGAATAGCATCTGCATGTTAGCTGAGACCTGGGGACAGATTCTACTTGTATGTGTTTACTACATCCCAATTAATTCACTTTACTTTGCACACTACTCATGTCCATGCAGTTAAGACTTTTTAAGGAATCTAGATTCCCATCTGTCTCTGGTAGCAAAATATTATGGCCAATGTCATAATAATATAAAAAACCCCAAAGGATCAGGGAAAAATTCTTTCCAGCTTCAGCTGGTAATCAATATATACCATGATGCTCATTTCGTGTTAGCTATTTCCAGCACAAATAGCTAATCCTTAACAAAACACCACTTCTCAACAGTAGAAAATTGCATGGTTAAACATTGGTCAAGACCATACTTCTTGTTTAAGATACAGAACTTATAAAATTCAATGTTCATATGACAAGAAAACACCACCACTGGTCCTCTGATAATCACTTGTAAATCTTTCTCACCTAAACCACCTGAAACAATGTAGAGACAGTGTTATTTCTGCTATTATCTGTCTTGTCTGTTACCTAAGGGCAGTAACTGAGTTACACTATTTGTAAGAGCCATGTAATAGCCAGGTCATTAAAAACCAACCTAACAGCACAACAGTTCTGACAATCACAAAAGGTTATGAACCATAACTAAAGGAGAACCGAGCCAATGCCACCTCTGGTTCTATAATGGCAGCAGAGGCCTTCCAAACTCACTCTATTCATTCACCTGAAGAACTATTCCAAGTCAGCTACCAGACCACAATCTGCACACTATATCCTAGATAATGGACCCCACTATCAAATTATTTTCAGAAGGATCATTAGACAGTTAAAAAATGATATAACAAAAGCAACATATGACATTAAAATTTTACGTAAATACATATTTACACTATTAATTAAACAATATATAATCTATATTATTTGTATTTAATTATAAATATTTTTTATATTTTTATAAATATGTGTCTATATAGATATATCTATATCTATCTATCTATATGTGTATACACTTAAGTCCAAGACATTCTCAATCCTATTATGGTCAGTACTGAAATAAACCCTTCACAACCAAACTATTTCTCAACACCTATTACAGAAATGGCCAGCAGCACATCTGACAAGACATGGAAAAATTTGTTCTGGCACATAAAGGGTGCCAAGGCAAATGACACATATAACTTTAAACTGCATTTCCTAATTCATTGATGTAAAGACTGATGCCTTAAAAGACCACAATCCATGAAGTTGGATTTTGTGCTCAGATTTAACAATATGCTTTCCTATCATTATCTTTTTACATGAGCATTAATTTTTAAAATCTAAATTAAATTTAGATACGTGATAATAAAGCCCCCTACCAAATTCTCACTGCAAGAATTTCTCTAAACCTCAATTTGCATGACCTACACCTACAATCTAAAAAAAAAAAAGAAAAAAACACCACAAGCAAAGCATTCTGTAAAAAGTTTTATAACAAGTAAGTTGTTCCAGCTTGTTATTTTTCTTCAAGTCTTAATTGTGAAATTTCTTCTTCTTCCGATTCCTCTTCCCTGCTGCAAAAGCTGCTTTTTCACTCATGATCTCCTGATACTTCTTTTTATTATATCTGAACAAAATAGATAATTTACTTTTAAGCATGGTAAACCAAAGTTCAAGAAAAGATAACATGGAAATTACGCATATAATTTTCCAAGCTGAGTTCTCTCATGTTTTCTGAGTCAGTTTTCTTTAACTTGATACACTTATGTGTAGGTAGAGGGAAATCAACACTTGGATGAATGATAAATGCAAGTAAATTTGATTGAAGAATCATTAATTTCGGCATAACCAGGGGGTTCTTCATTGCATATGCAATCACATTTTGGACAGTTTGCTAAAACACTGCTACTGCTCATAGTGGGATGACTCATCTATGACAATACTATGGACAAATTATACCTGTTTTTATACTACCTTCTTGGCAAACTCAAGATAACCAACCTTATTCTACTCAAGGTTGAAAACTGAGATGAGATTAACACTAAACAATGAAAAGGATACACTCACTGGATACAAGTTGCTAGCTTCTCTAATACAGATTCTTATATACCTGTACTAATTACCACAACGGATCAATAACACTGAGCAGTAACCAGACTTAATTGCAACACTGAAACCTGACAAATGTCTGCACTAATGCTACAGTATCTGGTTAAAGCCCTTAATTAGCCACAACATAAATTAGCTGATCAAATTTCAAAGACATTAATTTTTGAAAGTAGCTTCTAATAAATACTTCATAAAAATCAGGTCAAGCCAGAAAACTAGTTAAAAAATAGCTATACTAACCTGCTTTCCCAACATTAATATTTAATTTATAAGCCTGAGAACATTAACCTTATAATCCCAAATCATGTACTACTTCCAAAAACCCACGTCATTATGTGAAAAAAGAAGTACAGATTAGCATCATGTAATAACCAGTATCGAAATGGATCAACTAAGGGATCTACTCCAGAAATTGTCAGTTAGACAGGCATTAATTAATCCAATCATATTCTTCAAGTAAGACTTATAGTGCAATTTTGATTCCTACAACATGTCAGACAGATATGCTTATAAAATGAAATCATATCAACTTCATAGAATTACAGTCTGCATTTTTCTATCAATTATGCCAAGAAAAATTAATAGGTCCTTAAAAAAAAACAAAAAAAAGTGCATGCATAGGCACGTATCGCTCATTGAGAACCCTTGGTTTTTGGCGTAAGCCTGTGCAGACACTTATTTTAGAAATGAACCAGAATAGGGCTGATATGTTATCTCTTCAACACTAACATTATTTTAAGACTGGCTGCTAATTGTGATGACCTGATTTGGACAAAACCCTTTTATGAAGATAAATGTGCTGTCTCAGCCTAATTATCCTGTCCCTTGGATCTTCCCAAAGGCAGTACTGCTGAAGGGATAAAACAGACTAAAATGTTTTCTTTGAAGTATAAAACAAACATATAAACTGAATAAAAACAATCAAAAAGTTATATAGTTAAAAATATTCCTCTCTTACATAGGATATCAGAATTACAAAACTGTTTTTAAATACCTTCTGAACTCAGAATCTGCAAGCAGCTCTTCAACAATCGTTCTCTTCCTTTGTTTCTTAGGGATTCGGCTATGGTAAAAGTCTATGGGAGAATCAACTACAGTTCCAACCTAGGAAACAGAAATGAAAACATTCTTACTGTACGGCAAGATGTTGATTATTATGACCTTTTTTTTTTTTTTAATCCTCAGTGACAAGTGTAAAGACACCTACAAAGAAGAGCAGAATGGTATCTTAAGTGCAAAATACTAAAAATTTAAGCAACATTTTGTATGCAGAGTCACTTTTTGTCTCATTATTTACTGCACAGAGGAGGGCCTGAGCTTTAAGACTCTACAGTCTTCAACACTGGACTCCTGCATCAGTGTTTGCATTTATAAAAGAAATAAGTTCTTAACTTTTAAACATTTTCCAAAGGGAAAGGAAACCCTTATGACTATGTCAACTCCTTCCTGTCTCTGTCATTGTGGTGGTTTTGCTAGATGGCTAGCAGTTAATCCAGCTCTAATACAAGGCCTTAATCCTGGAATGCATCACATTTTTTCCAACCAGCATGCGAGTCAGTTCTGATGATTCAGGTTATTAGCAGAGATACATGGAGTATGTTTCACATAGTGAAAACAGACCTGCACAAATCTCATTATATGGAACACTTCCATCTGTTTTTTTCTATACCCAGAAACTTCAAAACGACCCACCCTTCAGAGTGAAGCTGTAATATTTTGAGAAATGAAAACAATTTCCTTCAAGCATGCTAACTATTCAAACAGGTGTTAAGTCAATATAAGCCTATTTCTGTAGCCTCTGCAGTAATGATTTCCTTTAGGCAAGCCGCTTCAAAGCTGAGAGCTATAGCAGCAAAAATTTTGGCTGATCACAAAGCTAACTGTCTCCATTCAAACTGTATTAGGTAGTAAGAAAATAAATGCTAATTGTTTAAAAAGACTAATACTTTAAAAAAAGCAGTGAAAATCTAGTCCACTGAGGGTTCAGTATACAGAATCAATCAGGTGTTTGTTCACTACTATGAGATCAGCTGAAATTAAAAAACCCCAGCATATACACATACATAATATAGAGTTAAGCAGTTGTGAACTGCTACAAATTAATCAAAATACTTTAATTATTAAGCGATGGAATTAAATCAACACAGACGCTAGCTACAAAATAGGCAGCAAATAAGAACAGCTGTTCAAAACTTCAGCAATACAATGCCACCTTCTGCTGCTTCCTTACCTGGAAGTATTTGGGTAGACCATCTCTATCATTTTTCTTGTAAAAATGCTTAGGGTCCAACGAAGCTCTCATCTTCAAAACTTTAAGATCATTTTTCAGTTCACTTGTGATTTCAGGTGCTTTCATACCAAACCAACCATCACCTGTTGTCTTCTCTCGCTCTGCCTAGGATACAATACCAAGAGTAATAAATTTGCATTGAGCAAATAGGACAGGATAGAGCAGGGAACTCTCCCCTCCAAAAGATGGATAAAGCATTTAGAACTTAACTCTGTACCTTTAAAAAGTATATTTTATAACACTTATAGTAAGAAGGTCATCAGCACTGTATTAATGACAGATTTGTACCATCCATCTGAGCACATTATCTTTCACTTCACTGTCATGGTGACTAAAAGGATGGTTTTTCACAGGATGGCTCAAGAGAACACTCAATTGCAGTTCATCACTCCACTTCCAGTGAGGCCTGTATATGCACACCGTCCCAGCACAGGGCATTCTACCAAAGCTTGTTTTGTTATTTGAGGCCTTATCAGCTCTTCACTTACCCTGCGCTGTTTCTTTAGCTGGTGAAGTGATTCCCTGAAGGGTGGGACACATTCCTTTTTTTCAAAATCTGGAGTTATTATACTCTTCTGCAAGAGCTGTAAGAATTTTTCACGTTAGACAATCATCTCACTGATACAAATTTTACTGCTTAACCATAATTACAGAACCCACTAAAGGAATCATGCACAAACAAAGCAAGCATTATAATACAATACTTGAGGTTCTTTGACGCACAATGAAAGTAGTGGGGATCTTTAAAATAGAACCCTGGCCAACAAAAGAGCAGCTAGCTAGCTCTGGAAGATGAAGTGAGATAGCAAATGCTCTAGAATAAAGAGGGCTACCATGGATGAACCTAACAAAACAGTCTCAACAAAAATAATACATTCCCTTTATCTCAAAGGGTGCTTTTGAATAAAACTGCTAATTCTGTATTAGGAAGAGTATAGACCTTTACTGAAATTCATTCTTGCTATGGACTAAATATCTTATTAGCAGACATTCAGCTCATGTATGATTAGGCAAAAATAAAGGCATAATTAACTTTGGTTTATTTTACAAGATAATGCTGGTATTTCCACTGCTTTTCAGTTTCTGAAGTGTCATATATATTTAAATTCTTACCACTAAAACCAAATGTAAATCTACACTTTAGCCAAAAAGAATGGAAGTTCTTAGCAAACCATAGAACAGGATATTTCTTTAAAAACAATTAAAACAACCTTATTAAATTAACATCTGCATTACTGTAGTCATAGGTAACTGCATAATTGGAAACACATTACCTGGTCCTTCTTTTTCTCCTTCAGCTGATTAATTACACTTGATCTAGGCTTCTGTTTTTTTGCATCAAAACTAATATATAAACCTCCAAGCTTCTTTATATTCAAACCAGTGTCTATGCTGCTGGAAAGATGTAAGCTGAAAGAGAAATAATGAATGATTAGAATACTGTAACAAGCATGCAGCTAAACCTTCTACAGTCCTCCGAGAAAGATAATCACAAAAGTCTTTTTCCTCTTCTTCTTCCCACTTAGGTTGTTCTGCCATACAGGCTGGGGGATGAGTGGATTGAGAGTTGCCCTGTAGAGAAGGACTTGGAAGTGTTCGTAGATAGAAAACTGATTGTGAGCCAACAATGTGCATTCACTGCCCAGAAAGCCAACCATGTCCTGGGCTGCATCAAGAGAAGTGTGACCAGCAGGTCAAGGGAGGGGATTCTCCCCCTCTGCTCTGGTGAGACCCCCCCTGCAGTGCTGTGTCCATCTCTGGGGCCCCCAACATCAGAAGGACATGGACCTGCTCAAGTGGGTCCAGAGAAGGCCACGAAGATGATCAGGGGGCTGGAGCAACGCCCTTGTGAGGGCAGGCTGAGGGAGTTGGGGGTGTTCAGCCTGGAGAAGAGAAGGCTGCAGGGAGACCTTATAGGGGACTTCCAGTACTTAAAGGGGGTACAGGAAAGGTGGGGAGGGACTCTTGATCAGGGAGTGTAGGGATAAAATATGGGATAATGTTTTTTAACTGAAAGAGAGCATATTCAGATTAGATATAAGGAAGAAATTCTTCCCTGCGAGGGCAGTGAGACCCTGGCACAGGCTGCCCAGAGCAGCTGTGGCTGCCCCCTCCCTGGCAGGGTTCAAGGCCAGGTTGGACGGGGCTTGGGGCAACCTGGTCTGGTGGAAGGTGTCCCTGCCCATGGCAGGGGGGTTGGAACTAGATGATCTTTAAGGACCCTTCCAACCCAAACCATTCTATGATTCTAATGATTTTAAATCTCCGTATCTAGAATACATACATAGATAATTTAGAGGTGGCAGAAGATGAGAGGGAAAAAAAATCATGCCATTATATGAAGCGAGAGTTAAAGAACAATACCTGTGGAATCATTTGCACAAATCTTTCATATTAACTCTAAAGTTGTACTCTTATTAAAAGATATTACTAACATCTATAAAACGGAACTCTTATTTAATTTGCTTAACCTTGCCAAAAGAGCTCATGACCAACACCCTTCTATACACTGAGAAACCTACTAGCTGAAGAGAAATAAAAAACCCACAAAAGTGCAAACATATGGGTGGTAAAAATACTGTCAACTCTTAGTAAAAAGTATGAAGCTAGAACTCATCATAGCAATGTTTAAATCCTTGTCTGTGTACCAGTAGTATGAATAACATTATTAAACATGTTAAAACTCTTAGGGACTATATTTGTATTTTATAATCTGTGCAACTCCACTTTCCATGTGAATATTACTTATGTGATGAGACTACGCCCTCATTTATTCCATATCATTTAGCACTTAATACACATATCGTGTGCATATGCTTGAACGAAATGTAGCTTCTTTAGTTACTGCCAGAAAGATACTTACATGTCAATCTTGGTTTTCAACAACTCCTCATCTTCATCTTTCTCATCTTGATCTATCAATTCCTCTTCAGCTTCTTCCAGATCTGACAATTCTTTACCTTTTTCACTTCCTTCATGTTTACTTTCAGCATCACTATCTTGGTCTACCTGATCCAGATAATACTTTTGGCTGGAACTCATGCCAGGCTTAGTATCAATTACAAAAAGCCCTTCAGCATGCAGTGAACTGTTTGCTAAAGATTTGTTGAGGGAAGGAGTCCTCTCATCTGCCTCTTTGTAACACTGATTCTCTCCAACTGTATCTGTGTCCACCACATCACTATTTTCAGATTCATCATTTTCATCTTTGCTCATAAACGATTCAACAGAATTGTTGCCACTGCCTGATCTTCCACGGCTGTGGGACACAGATTCAGCATATTCTCCTGTTTGGTCTTCACCACTGTCCACACCAATTTCTAGCACCCTGCATCTACCAATGCTATCAGTTCTTTGTGCAACAGCTATGCCCTTTTGCGGGCTGCTCACTGTGCTAGCTTGCTCACCCTTTCTTAATTTATCAGCATGGGTGAAAGACTGCTGTGCATCTGCCTCAGCATCTGCTCTTTTGCATTCTGGAATTTTTTTACTTTCATTTGGTGTTATTTCCCCTTGGGATTCTAAAAATTGCTTGGGACCCATGCAATCAGTCAAAGAAAGAACCATACGCTCTAATTTCTCCTCCCTCACAAATATTTTACGGTGTTCTTGTATTTGGCCACATGTTTTCTCTGAATCATCTACCCCAATAGATTGTGTATTTTTTATTGCTTTTTTTCCAGGTGATTCAGTGTCACTTTGTTTCATTTTTGTAAGACTGATGTGTGTCACATCATTCAAAACCTCTTCCTTCACGTCTTCACTCCTGGTTGTATTGGCAGATTTGGAAGAACATTTGCTTTTAGGTGAACTGGGTTCTTTATTATCTTCATTGTCAGATAAAGCGTCTTCTGTGTCAGAGACAAGTTCTGCAGCAGGTTTAGAATCAGAAATTATTATTGGCTCAGACTTAATGTTGTCTTCAATTAAATTCTTATCTTCTGAAACAATTCTGCTTCCCTTCCCAGTCTGCTTAGTATCTTCTGCCTGTGATTTCATTTGCAGGGTCCTGGTAATTCGTTTTGTAGTGATCAACGGTTCCATACGAGAACTTAAGCAGCATGACTGTGCATCAGAAACATCTTCACTCTGGGTTTCATGAACTGTATCTGGTGGCAGTTTCTTTTTGCTTTGCCTGCTTCTTGTAGTTCTGGTAACATTAGGCATCTGTACACCAGAAACAGTAGAGGAACAAGACTCAGCTTCAGAGACATCATCTTCATCCACAGTACTGCATAACTTATTTAGAAAAGCTATCTTGTCATGTCTTCTTTTGTCAGTAGAATCCAACTGATAAGGAACTACAATTTGTCGTCTTCTTGTTACTCTTACAAACAAAGGTGTCTGAAGACCAGATACACCTGAGCAGCTTGATTCTGTTTCTGACACATCCCCATCAGCTTGTGGCTCAGCAACTGATTGTGCTGAATGAATAGCTGTGCTCTCCTTTACAGTAATTTGCGTCTCTAAGCTATCACTAACATCTAACTTTGTTTCTGCAAGTTCCACCTCTTCAGACTGAGATTCCTGAATTACCTCTGGCTTATGAATTAATTTACTTCTTCTTCTAGTCATCCTCATGAACACAGAAGTATTAATTTCAGATGACCTCTAGAAAAGGAGTAAAAAAAAGTGTGCTATTGACAAATAAAATAACACCATAAAAAGGCTGCTATACAAATCGACTCAAGCTGGCAACATATTACATGTCACTGTGTAGCCCTATCTATGTGGAAAAAGTATTAACAAACCATCCTTTGCTTATTTGTTTGTCTACTGTCTTTTGGTCAGGGCAGAAGAAACACACATATCCATTAAGAAATACAAACAAACACATTAAGGAAGACGAACAAGTATCTTCTAATTTAAAAAATTCTGACAAACTGTAATGGGAAGCAAATCTAGAAGTGATGTTCAGAAACATTCAAAGATTTGCTCAACTATAAACCACTGAAGCCTAGCAACTGGCAGAATGTGCTCCAAAATGGTTTCCATAACCAATTTTAGCAGTTTTAGGAAGAGACTGGCCTCACAGCAACCGCAGCACCAGGTATAATCTGATTCTTTAACAATGCCTGGAAATTATCCGGAAGGCAATTCAAAATTTTGGAAAGAAAAAATACTCTGCCACAGCAAGATCTTCCCAAACCACAGAATCATGTTGGATCAACATAAACCATGCTACTGAAACGATCAGCATTACCGCCAGCGTTTGCGTGTCTAGTGGAAAAAGCCACAGAGAACTGCTAAAATAACTGCAGAAAATAAAGGAAAAGAACACAAAACCAACGAAACCCGTAACCTTTAACTGGCCACTAACATTAAACGCTTTAAGAACCCAGACAGCCCGCAGGCCGGCCCAGGTCCCGCCGCAGCAGGCGGGCGTGCTGCTGCTGCCGCCGCCGCCACCGGGGCCCCCGTGGCGAGGCCGCGCGTGTATGCGTGGGCGTGTGCGAAGATGGCTGCCGCAGCGCCTCGGCCACCCCGCACGGCGCCCGGCGGCCCGCGCCCCGCGCTCCCGGCTTCCCTCACCTCCGCCGCCTCGGGCCCAGGGCTGCCGGTGCCCGCCCGGGCCCGGGCCCGCTGCTCCCTGCGCCGCGCCGCCGCGTGCCTAGTGGCCACCATCTTGTCAGCTGCGCCGCCCCCGCCCCTTCCGGCGGGGCCCGGCTGCTGCGGCCCGGCGGGGCGGAGGGCAGCGGCGTTCCGGCCGGGGGGCGGGGCCCCGCCGCACTTGCTGCCTCGGCCGGCCGGCCCCAAGAAGCGCGCGGTCCCGCGGAGGGGCGGGGCTCTGGAGGCGGTAGGTGATGAAACCCCGGGGTGTTGGGCGATACGCAGGGCTCTTTTATGACCAAGCGGCAAATACTGTTATTGAGATTATGGGAAGTCAGAGAAAGCTCAGATTAAAAACCTACAAGAATTTCCAATTTTAATTCCAACTTTCAAGTTTCTTATGAAAGGAAATGCCACCTCTCCCACTTTGATGCAAAACAAATGAATGAGATAACCCGACAAAATATTACAGTTGGTGACTCTAGAAAAATTATCGTCTTCAAATTATGTCATCTTAAAGAGTACTTTACTACATCAAGCAAACTGTTTACAGGAAGGAAATAAATAATTATCCCATTAGAGCAGCCTATACATTGTTTTAGCACAATTCTTGTTTTGTAGCATTTCAATTTATAAAACTGAGCACACGCATTCGAGTGTAATACAGTACAGAATGTCAACAGCCTTAGAATTTACAGCTAGTGGTTAATCAGCAGCAGCACACAACTCAGCTGGTAGGGAAGCTTAAAATGAAACTTATGCAATTTTGAAACTGATACACACTGACCCAACAATTAAAAAAAAGACTACATTTTGATTAGAAGGAAAAAAATCCAACTTTTATTGATGCATTACTAGTTCCAGTTCCCCATCTCATTTATCAAAATAACTGAAAAAGTCCAGGTGCATTTCCCAGTATTTGCCACCTACAGACAAGGTAGTTGAGGACTCAAAAGGTATCTTGAAAGTTTTTCATCTTTAAACTTAGTGGAATGGATTACATGCTAGACACAACCTACAGGCATTCAAATTCCACTTAGCTGCCTATATGACAGAATTTGAAAGATGCTGGTGGAAATTCATTTCCTTACAGTCCAAGTCTCTAAATATGTACAACTAAGAGTAATACTAGTATGAAGTCCTGATCCTGCCTGAAATCAAAAGGAAAATGAGTAATTTAGACACTCAGTATAAAGTTCCTGCTAAACTACATGTCAAGCTTTTGCTATCTATTCTCAGTTAAAGGCCAAGAAAATGAAAAGGCCTTTTTGATAGAAAGACTACACTAAACCAGACGCCTTGCCTTAGCTGCAGCAATTTCTCTAGGACTCAAAAGCCAGTGTGCTAAGCTACTGCCAAATAGAAAGATACCTAACTTCAAGCTAACCCTTGCTTGCATCATTTCTGAATGGCACTCAAACAACGAAGTCTCCTAGGCAACTCCAAGGAAGTCATCCATTTTACACAACCCTACAGCGAACAGCTTCAACACTTACTATCTGTTCTGACTTGGCTGATTCTGATTGCGTAGTTCACAAGTATCAAAAAACCAAGCCACAGTTGAGAAGACAGGCACAATTCAATATCTGATCAACACATTTTTTAATCACTTGTTTTCAATTCTTATCTTAAACATTCACACAAGAATACATTTTCTATTTCAAAGAGTAAAAATGTGCCTGTGCAAACACTAAACAATGCATATTGAGGCACAAAGAAGCCAGAAGGAATTCAAGTAACAGTCCAAAAGTAATTTGGAAGATGTATTTTTCCCTAAATCAGAGGTCTTTTACACTATATTAAAAATAATCCAATTTTCCCATACACACAAATTAAACAGCTGACTTGCCTATATATACATACCAAGTAACAAGATACCAGTTTAATTTTTTGGGGTAATTTTTCATAGAAGATGACAGTTTTCTGCAAAAACTAGTCCTTGAATGTTTGAAATCTATGTACCTACCAGATAAGTAACTATTATTTAAGAGAAAATAATTTTTTAAAAAATATATGTTTCTCTCTACTACCTAATGGCAGCTAAAATACAATGATAATTTTACAGTGAGCTGGTCATAAAAATAAAAATATTTTAAACTGTTTCTCCAGAGATAATTTCAATTAAAAACAAATGCAAAATATTTACTATTTTAAATGAACTGGTCAATATGTTAAGGAAGAGAAGTAGTGTTAGAACACTGCAGACAATGCTGCTGACATCACACTCAATAATTACAACTTTTGGTCTTTGTTACAAATGCTGTAGATGTGTTTCCATGAAAAAAAGCCATGTTCCCCCATCCCCAAGAAATTAAATCAGTAAGCCATTAAAGAAAAAAAAAAAAAGTGTTTTAAGAGGCATTTCTTTTAGCTTGAATGATATAGCCTTTGGACTTGATAATTCCTCTGCTTTTAACAATGACTGAATACCGGAGAAGCCATAAAGGAATCCACTCATGTGCTTTCGTGTTCTGGATGCTTTCCTGAAGAACTTCTTGGAAACTTGCTTCACAAAGTAATTCTGAAGTTAAAAAGGGATATTCATGCTTTAAATAATGTCACGTAAACAGCTGCAAAAAGCAACACTTAGTAAGAGAAGCCTTTTCCTACAGCCAGAAACCTCAGGCAGTGCTAGATACTCCACAGATCCACTCTTCCAGAACACACACAGGATAAAAGCAGGTGAATATTACAGAAGAAATCTTCAGGACGCTTTTTCTGTGACATTGAGTATTTCTCACAAAACTAATTAACTGAGTTTTCTCAGTTTCTCATATCAAATGGAGTTGATCAGTAGAGCCACTAGCAGGAAAAAATGAAAATTAAGTTTGACAAGCTAGCTAGACAAACCAAAGGTGAGTAAAGCATAAAGCTGAAATCAGCAAAGTACTGAGCATTCTCAGTTACCTCTGCAGTCACTGGAAACTCAACATTTATAAAATCTCCCATAACAGGGCTCATAGCCACAAGCCTAGAAAGCATTATGGAAAATGAGCTTAAATGCCACAAAGCAGAAAAGGAAGGCAAGTACAAATCCACCTAGTTTCCTCTGGAAAGTCAGTCAAGGAAACAATCACTTTGATGAGGAGTGTTCCCAAAAGCTACTCTTAATACTCTTCAGCTGACCATTACAGAAAAGCGAAGCTTCACAAACAGTGCATGAGGGAATCACTACTTGTTTTGTTTTCTATCCAAATCCTCTTCTCCTTTATTTCATGACTCTCGATAGAGAGTATTTATTAAATTGCAAGTTGCGCTTTGGACTTCACAGGACACAAGTTGTTGGATTGAATGGCAAATCATCTTGTATGCTGCCAAAGCAGAACTGATACATGCTCATGCACTGACAAAATTAATTAGTTGTAACAGTGGTATGATAAAACATGTACTTCATAAATAGCGTTTCATATAATTTTTTTCTTTGGGGGTGGGGAGGGGGTCATAAGGAGGAATGTAGGGAATTAATTAACTAAATATTGTTTAAGATTTCTCACTCACAATTCCAGCAAGATACTTGTCATTATAGTTAAGAAGGTTGGATGATGTTTGACAGAAACTAATATAATATCTCAGAATATACTAGGGAGCCGGCAACTCAGAGTTCTAGAGTTTAAAGGAAAGCCTCCAAGTCCTTCAATCTTTTAGTAAATGAATCACTGTACAAAACAACTACAGAACTTACACCAACTCTTTTTGTAATAATGTTATTTTAAGAAGTCACTACTTTGAAAGAATCTTGCTTAAAGCATAATAATTTTAAATGTTTAACGCTATCAAACTACTAAAAAAAAAAAATCAACTATCAATATTTCTACACAAGCTATTTCACAGACAAGTTCTGGGCAAATGGACTTGCATTTGTTATTTACTGGCCTTCAGCAATACAACTTTAATTTCATTCTATGTTTTGTGGAAATAAGCTATTTTTTGAACACATGTAGTACAAATTTTTCAGTAGTTTGTGCTTCTATTTACTTTATTTTCTCTGATTAAAACCATTTCAAGAAACTATCCAAGGCTGGAACACTGCCTTTTCCCCCCCTTTCTTGAAGCAAAAGCAAGAATTTAATAGAAATATTTTACAGAGGAGAAACTTTTAGAATCCTGTGTTCAGGATTCAAATGTAATGACTCTCAAAATTCAGGGAAAGATTATTCCTGATTATGTATGGAATAAATGCATTTAGAATTCATCTGTTAACTTATCTGGCAAAGCCTTACCTTTCGGGTCATTGTGAGTTAACAGCTGTATGTCAAACTGTTTTGCAAATGCTGTGAGATCAGGTGGCATCACACAACAGGAAGCTAGGTTCACCTGATTACTACTTGGTTTCACCTGAAAGTAACAGAATACTTTTATAAGAAAAAAAATATTAACATACTTATTTTAGTGATTGCCCCCAAGCCCTCTATTACAACAGAAATTTTGCTTTGAACAATTTGACTTTGACTGTTGTTTTCAGGTCTGAACGAGGCTAATTAATTCTGCATGATGCTGAACAGCCAACTCCTGCATCTGCAATTTCCTGCAGCAGAGAGCCCAAAACAAGAATAGGATCTAAATTCACATGCTGCCACAGCAAGATGAATACTAACCCATTCCGGCTTCCCATCTGCTGTGCTCCCTAAACAGCAGCATTCCCCCCTCCCCCCCCACCCCCCAGTAGTAAGAACTTTGTGGGGCATTAGTTGGAAAACTACTTCAAATAAAAAAATCCAAATACGCTTTTGTTAAAGATACATCATTTACAGTCTTCTATGCCATCAGATAAGTGCCTAAATCAGATTAAGTTAAAAGGGACACTTCCACTAACTTTTTATCTGCTCATCACAAACTGCATTCACGAGCACCAGGCACACGGTCATTACTCCCTTCAGTATACACAGAACAGGGAGGAGCACCAATCTGGACTCTCAGCAGCACCTCTTACACTGATACAGTATGTTCACAAACCACAAAAGAAATGTTGTTAAGAGCAGCACTCAGAGAACTAATATAGAAAAAGCAATTCCACAATCTTACCTGAGCATGTGCACATACTGGTAGAGACCTCCATCACTCAAATGTTAAGAGGCAGTTAGTCACACTAGACAATAAAATATTGTGCCGCTGCATTCATTTCCTCTTTAAATTTAAGCTTAGCATTCAAACAACATTCTTCCAAGGGGAAATCCCTCCATTCATAACACAGCTTAAAGTGAAAACAGCTATGTTTTCAGTCACTGGAATAAATCTGAATGTTTAAGAATACTATTTTTACTCCTTCTTAAATACAAAAGCATTCCAAACTCAAACCTTCAGTACTTCAGAGAACCTGCTACTGAACAGACCCTGTGGTTTCCAGCCTTTGCTGGTCTGTATGTAAGAACACTGAACAAGTGATAGCCACACTTTGAGCCTCCCCCACCTTAAGCAATACTGTGACTATCCATAAGATGCTGAAAATAATAGGGCTAATGATTATTTTGTATATAAACACATTTATAACAGAAGTTTATAACAATGTAGCAGCCAACAAATCAAGAGTTACTCTGTCCTAGACATGATACAAGTAGGAAGTTTATGCTCACCTGTGCCCACAGGTACAGCTGCTCTAACAATGTTTTATCTAGGTCAGAGGTACCTATGGCAACAATCTTTTTGTTTTGAACTAGATTTTCAAGTTCTTGCCAATAAGGTTGCAAATACTCCAAGGAGAGGCTAGTTCCATCTTCAATGGGAGGTGGGGCAATAATGACTGAGTCTAACTGAGGAACTCCAAGGGCAGAGCATGCTGAGGAAAAAAAACAGAGACAGTGCAACATCTTTTGAGACATATGGACATAAGCAGCATGACTCTTCAAATTCAGCAAAAAGCACACCTCCTGTTTCTCTCTGCTAGCTTGCCATTCACCCTTGGAAGCTCTGAGAGTATCAGCAGTCAAGGATTGTAACACAATGTTTTTAGTAAACAATCAAACATACAGCTGAAGGCCACGTTTCAGTTGTAGGTCTTGGGGCAGGGCGAGGGGGAAACCACAACAAGAATCCCATCACCAAACAAAAGCACTCAGCTTTTTTCTCCTTTTCAATGTTTAAACTATATTTTTCTCTGAAGACAGTAGTGGCATACACAATTCTTGATTCCTTCACTCTCCATTTCTTTCAAAATTTGTAACTTTCACTCTGAACAAGTACAGTACTCAAGTACAGGGCAAGGACTAGGAGAACTATTTGATTCATGTGAAGAGTTAGACAAAAAGCACACTGAATATGGAGATTTAAATTGCCAAAGAGAAGTGGCAAGTCTTGGAGAATCACCAAGCTTTAGGAAAGATGCAAGTCAAACACCTCTTCTGCACAGCAAAAGAGTAAGACTAAGAATCTAAATAAAATATTTTCTTCTTCTGGAGGAGTCTATCAATCTATTTTTAACAAATGGTACTACAACTTATAATAAAGAGGCTATTAACTGGGATATCAACAGAAAAGAATAACTGACACTTCATTCTTTGGTTACTCCTTATGCTCAAAAATCTTCCAAAGTGGTAAAGTTCAGTGCTGCTCACAATTACTGCTATGTTAGGCTAACAAAACTGTATGTACCAATACAGCCATTGTACTGTATTTTCAATAAGGTTTACCTATTTCATCAGCTGCTTGCAGTATTGTTTTATTTCTAAATAATCTCTGAAATACTGCACAGTTAGTAGCAAAGTTCATCATGTTAAAAACAACTAGTAAGAACTATTGTATCACTGTTACTAAAACATCACATGCTATTCACTTTTTAACAGGCTTTGTGTGAGAGAATAAAAACTTGCTCCTGCTTGCAGCAAGGAATCAGATTTCAGTGTGTGGACCCAAGGTTGCAGTGGTCCGCATTTAATAAGTTTACTGACTGAACTAACATTTAAGGAGACATGATTACCTAAGTCTTTCTTAATAGGAAACCAGGATGTACTTGTGACCGTCACTAAGTACACCTCTGTCATGATTTAAACCCATCTGGCAGCCAAATACCACACAGCCATTCACTTAGACTCCCTCACCTGGGAGATGGGGGAAAGCATTGGGGGGTAAAGGTAAGGAAACTCACAGGTTGACATAGAAACAGTTTAATAAGTGAAATAAAAATAATAGAAAATACAAACAGGCAATGTACAACGTGATTGCTCACCACCCACCAACCGATACCCAGACCATTCCCAACTAGTGATCCCAGAGAATCCAAGATCCCGAAAGCGTAATTCCAGAAGTGAGAGCCCCTGCTTCCCAGCCGACCCTCCCCTAGGTACTGAGCATGACATTACATGATATGGAATATTTCACTGGCCAACTTGAGTCTGTTGCTCTCTCCCAGCTTCTTGTACACCTGCATACTAGTAGCAGGGAAGTTAAAAAGTCCTTGATTTCTTAGCAACAACTGAAAATGTCAGTGTATTATTAACATTCTTCTCATACCAAATCCCATACTGAATCCAAAGCACAGAACTATTCAAGCTACTAAGAAGATACACTAACTCTATCCCAGTTGAAACTAGGACATCCTTTTAGATGGAAAAGCTTCTGATTTTATTTCTAAATGCTAAAGTAAAAAAGAAACCCTACCAGAATTTTGAGTTTCACACTTACCCAGGTCAACTGCATCTCTGATCGATGAAGAGTTTGATCCAACGATGAAAAGTTTTGCTATTTTCAAAGAAACTGGAATCAACAACTAAACAAGCCAGCTGTTATTAAGTATGTAGCTATTTACTTTTGCTGCATCCACTACTTATGAGTCCTTGGGTAAAGGGTTCTTAGAATATATACCAGTTACTTCAAAAATTGGAAGAAAACAACCTTCTGAAAGGTGACTGCCCAATAAAGACACTGTTTGCTTACATTTCAAAGTTGTTGCACAGTCTCAGAACAAGACATCATCCAGTTAGATGATCTAGAAAGCTGTAAAGCTAGGACTTAAGCATCAAGACAGTAAGCAATAACTGTAACAGCCTGTATAAAACCCCCAAATGTAATAGTACAAACAGATCTCTTCACAACTTACTGAGACTCAAAAAATACTAGCGTTAGTTTGGACTGCCTCCAAGTTCATCATATTCAACCTGGAAAAATTATGCAAATAAATATGCTTCCAATGCTATTTCTTAACTGCAGTATTAGCTGTAATATTTTGCTTCAGAAAAGTCAAATATATACAAAATACATTTAAAATGTCTTGAGGGGACATACGTTAAACTAGAGAACTGCCAAGCTGCTTTAAAATCTGGAAGATTAAGACAAGTTTTTCTTAGCCAACTTCTAGACTACCCAAAGTACGACAGTGTGCATTGATGTCATCTGACTTTGCAATTACAAAAAACGGTAGAAAAAAATATAAATATATGAACATCCTATTAGTGACTGCCTATGAAACCTTTTCATGCCACTGGATTTTTGACTAGGTTCTTACCCGATACTTTCAATTCATCTCTTTCTTCAGGATTTATTTTTTCGATAGCTTGAGCGACAGTACATTCCAGAACTTCTGGTATTTCCTGTAGGAAGTACATGAGATTTAGGAACAACTCATCAAGAAGAGACAACAAGCTCCTGAAGAATGTTTTTAATTAATTTAAAAAAAAAAAAAAAAAAGCCTTACAGCAATTAGAAACAAAAATAGTATAAAAATGCAACGACAAAGAAAGCAACCCAATGGTTCTTGATCTCTGAGGGGAGGTCAGGAAAATGAAGCTATATGAAAGGCCCTATATGCCCCTAATATAAAAAAATATAAAATACTGATAAGGATTATTAGATTAAGATTTCGTAGCTTTCTGATTTTCTGATGTGAACAGATCATAGCTCCAATACAAACTGCTTTGCCTCACGTTCAGCTGAAAAAACCCACTATCAGAATTAGGGGTATTGGGTGGGAACATCTTTGCATAAAAGTATTTTGTAATTTCAGTGAAGCCTATGAAAAGTCTACAGTGAAAAGGCTGTAAAATACAGATTTAAAACAGTAATTTTGAAACTACGAATTAAGAAAGTTTCAGAAATTTCACTCTCTGACCTCATTTAAAACTAGGCTGACATCTCACTTCAGCTGACACAAGGTCACTTGAAGTCTTTACCTATATGAGTTTTTGTATCATACGCACAGCCTACCCACCCCGCCTCCAACCATGCACTCTTTAGTAATTTTTGCTACTCTACCAAAAAAACCCTCAAGCGTGTCTTCAAGTTACTCCATACAGTCAGCATCTTAAACAAAAGTTAGCTTTCCTTTTTCTTAATTACGAGAAACCACTATAATTCATAAAAGATTTTGGAATTATGCAGTTAACAAGTTCTGACAGTAAAACCTAGCTTACACTAAATAATTAACTTCGAATGGCTCACTACATCTCAGAGACAAACGTTTATTTATATTCTCTCTTCAACAATCATTAGATCTTCTACAAATCATGCAGCGACAACTGCCTCATTACGCTCCAGTGTGGAATGCAGCAATGTGCAGTTGACCATTACACAAGAACTGGTAACCAAACCCAAAGAAATGGTCAGGTTAAGTTTTTCAGTCGTTTGTGGGGATTTTTAAATGAAACACGCTAATATGGCACAGAGCAAATAATGTATTTAGTGGGAACTTACTACTACATTGCTGAATTTCAGAAGCAATAGTGAAAGAGGAGCAGGTAAATACACCAAAACCTTGATGTCAAATGCCTGTAAATGTGGCTTTAAGAATTATGTGGAAGTCTTCAGCTCTTAAGGGAAAAATTGCCACTTCTGCGTCTTCAGAAATATTTGAGACAACCAAGGTTATGCTTCAGAGTTCTCCAAACAGAATGATCTTCAGTTATCTGGTTTATCATCTCTATAGTTTAGATAGTTGTCCACTGAGTTATTACAAGCATGCTAGCAAACTTCTAACATACACAGATTTTTTTTGTGTGTGTGATTGCCCCAAGAATTAACTTGTAATCTTATAGACTGGGACTTTTATTTTGCTAAGAATTGTCTTATTTGCCATGATCAGGATTCTCTTTAGCATTTCTTAACTTCTCCAAATTGACTAAATATTAAAAAAAAAGGGGGGGGGTGTATGTTGAGAAATATTCTTTAGAGATATCTGAAACTGCAGATACCTTTACAGAAATGTAATTAATTTATATTTTAAAGAGGCATAACCAACTACGTATTTCTCTGTTTTCACGTGTAATGTGGATAACGTGCTTAACAACTCTCCTACCTGATTTAGGTCTTGTCCAATCTTTGAGCTCCATTCAGTCAGTGTTTTCTGAATGCAGTCCCGCACCTACAAAATATTTTTTCATATTGAAGTGTAAGTATGTTACAGCTGCACAGAAATACAATGGTTCACAGGCGTGTAGGACAGACTGAGCAGGTGAACTAATGACACCACTCCTTCAACCACAGAAGATTCTTCCTTTATACCTTCCATCTGAAACTTGTTCAAACTAGTTTACTTACATATTTTCCTCTCCTCTTTCACAAAGAGTTTTAGCAGTAACACAAGTACCGTACTTTATCTATTTCTCAAACCAATGCCATCTTTAAATGAAAGAACAATACTAAGCAAGCAAGAAATAGGAGGTGGGGTGGTTTCCTTTCTTTTGCATAGATTCTCAAGTTACAATGTAGTCAAATAATGTTGTTAGAAATGAGACTTGACAGTCAATCACTAAATACTCAATATATTAAATACTTCCAAGATGCATCTAACCCTTTTCATCTACTGCCTACCTATTTCACGGTGCCAACCCACTAATGCTTTTAAGTCCTTCATTACTGAAGGGGGAACGTTCAGGTCCTACCCCACGCTTGCCTTTTTCTTGAATCCACAGATGCAAAATAAACTTCACTAGGACTTTGATCATGGAATTCTTGAACATGGTAAGGCATAACTGTTAAGTCTAAAGCAGCTAATTAACTCCATTTTGTACCGCTGCTTCAGCTGTACCAATGCCCTGGTTTTCCTCTGAATCATCTCAGGAGTTGTTAACCCTCAGGCTAGGTAAACATACTACCTGCTACAGGCAGAAGCACTTCTGCTGCTTTACTTCACCTATAGCAATATATTTTATAACTATGTGGATACCTACTTTTTGTACCATTAAATAGAAATTTCCTGTGACACCTAAAAATAATTCAGAGAGCTCATAACACCATGCACAAACTAAAAGCCAACCACTCCCCACTAAAACAGCATATCACAAAGCTTAAGACATAATACAGTAATAATACTTTGTGAGCACAAACTCTGGACATTATTTCCCAGTCATTTAAAATTACATGAAAAAAATAACTGAGTCAAAAGGCAAGAAATTACTTCCCCCCCCCCCCATCCCCAGCTATCCACAATGCTGAAACTCTTTAGCCTATTTTGATGCAACTTATAATGTTATTTTTCTTTTCTGAAGCAAAGTGAGACAGTGCTGAGTATGTATATTCTATATATTGCTTTTTTTGCAACTGGCACACTTTGTATTTCTACTGCAGTTAGTATGCACAAACCTGTATCTCCAAAGCAAACCATTCCCCTGCCCTCAACACGTGAAAAGCACAGTGCATTTGACCACTTCGACCAGTGTTTCCAAATACAATTACATCCCCAAACTCCTAACATTAGGGTGCAGAGTTTGCAAAATTTTAGCTTACGTTCTGCCCCTGAGAACTATACACACACTAACTACACCAAATAGGAGAATTGAAAGCCAATTTATTCCTGATAATTAATATCAATTATTTGCCTTTGGAGTTCCAGCAATTCTGGAAAGCAGGCAGCCTTATGTTTAAATGCAGATTTCGCTGTAAACAAATTAAATACTTTAACTGATTAGTTATGCACACTGACCACTCTTTATTTAACAATCCTTCAGTAACTACTCACACAAGGGTGCCCATTGCTACAGAATCTAGTCCTATCTCACACAGATCACAGTGTTGTGATAAGCAGCAAGGCCAAGTAAGTCATTACCATGTGACTACTAAAAAGTATGATTAATTCTTCCTTCTCATTACATCATCCTCCCAGTCACCTTTCTTAGCATTTGTGCAGGACTAACTTGCAATTACGCACCTTACCTATTACCAATAGTGCCACTACATTGCAATATCCAGCCAAACCCATAGCTGTTCTGATTATTAAATGGCCCTTTTCAGATTATTGTATTGTGATGAGACAGCAAATACAGGGGTTCTGAAGCTCATCACCACAGGACCTCCAGACATTTTATCAGGATTATTCTAAGTGTTGACACATACTGCTAAAAGTAATGAAGTGGTGATTAAAAAGTTTTCACCTTTTTAACAAAGAACAACAACAATGCCCTTGAAAGAGAACGGCAACTACTAAGTTTTCTGAGACCTGTCATCATCAAGAAATTAAACTAGTTTCAGGTTAGAAAAGTTTTCATCATTTGCAATACAAGCTCACATCTCTGCAGATCTTTCTCTTGCTAAAAAAGTATCAGGGTTCCCCTCTGCCGTTACAGACAGCACTTAAGCTTGTAAGCGTTTTAATTCTTCACTCCCCAAGAACCGAAACACAGACTGTTTCGTTGTTCTTCCGACCTCCCCCGAAAGAGCCGCTAACACAGCGAACTTCTTCCGGGGGCGCCGGGGGCCAAGGCGGCGGAGCGCCCCGCGCCGCTGCTGCTGGGGGGCCGGGGCCGGCTGCCGTCCGGAAGCACCAGGACACGTAAAACAGACGTTTTGGGGGAAATTTTTTTGTTGTTTGTTTGGTTTGGTTTTTTTTTTTTAAAAAGGCCTGTTTCGCCTTTCCGCACGCGCGCGGCACGCGTGGCAGGGCTGCCTCCCGCGGGCACCGCCGGGGCGTCCGTGAGGGCAATTAAGCCCCTTCCCCCTCGATGGCGGGCACCAGAAAAACAAACCCTACTCCGGGTAACGCTTCAACGTTGTTCGGTCGTCCCCGCACCCGGCGGCGGCGGCGGGCAGCGAGTACCCAGCGCTCCCCCGGCCGCCGCCCGGCCCCCCCCCCCGGCCCCCCGCCGCGCAGGCGCCCGCCGCCGCCCGGCCCCCGCCTCAGGGCGAGCCCCAAGGGGAGGCGCCGGCCCCACCACGCTCACCTCCTCGCCGGGGGTGGCCGGGCACTTCTTGCGCAGGCAGCCCCAGCTGAGGAGGTTGCCGGTCTGCAGAGTGAGGGTGGCCGCCTGCTCCAGCAGCGCGCGGGCGCTCTCCGTCCCCATGGGGAAGCCTGGTGCAGCTGCGGCTACCGGGCTCCTCGCGGCACCAGGCAGCGCCGCGCCGTGACTCAGCACAAACACCGGCCGCGCGAGGCTGGGGGGGTGGTGGTGGCGGCGACGGCGGGGGGGGGGTGTGGGAAAGGGTGCGGGGGTGGGGTGGAGTGGGGGGGCGCTTTGTAACCGTCCCCGGTCACATGGCACGAGGACAATGGGCGGCTGGGCGGGCCGAGCGCGGGAAGGGGCGCCCCCGGCGGGCAGCGCGCACCCCGCCAGCGCCGCCTCGCGCTCCCGGCGCGCGCTTGCGCCCCGCCCCGCCCTGCCCCGCTCCTCCTGACGGGGAGGCGGCTGCGCTCACCGGGCAGCGACCCTTGCCCTGGACGCGCGGCCGCGGCACGCGGGGCGGGGCCTGACCCGAGGGGGGCGGGGCCCGGCGGGGGTGGGTGGGGCGAGCCGGTGGCGCGCCCGCTGTAATCCCGTTGCAAACGCTATTTAGCGGCTCTGCGGGCGCAGCAAAATTAATGAAACCATCTGAATTTTAGTCATGAGTCTGTTAAGTAACACAGCCCTTGGTAGGCACCGAGATAAAAGGCCCAGAACAGGAAACCAAATGGTTATTTAGTTTGGATCTGTTTACATTTTGATGAAACTTAATGTCTGTGTATTACTGCAGTTTTACACCAGGTGATTTCAGTGAAGACAAATCGGGTGAAATTTGAAAGATTACAGTTTGGGGAATATTTTAAGACCAGGTGATTTCTGGAAAGCCACACTTTGAACGTTTTCCATATTAGAGACTAAAGGTGTGAGGAGCTGCTTTTTTTTTTTTTTTCACTTTTTTCCTTTTTTTTTTTTTTTTTTTTAACTACAGTTAAAGGGAACAGTAAGTTACAAATTGTAATTTTGCTGTCAGCACGAGAATTTCCGTTGTGTTTCTAACAGATTTTCCTTCCCCAGGCTGCATGTTGCGCTAATATTGAGAACCAATTTGCATAACTTCTGTCAGTCTGAAGCACTGCCTGATCATTTTCTGGTACAGAAGGTTAGTTTAAATGTTCTTTATATTTGTGTTCTCATTACTTTTCCATATTGGATTATTTTCATGTATTTGACACATTGTCCTCATTGTATGAATACAGAGCCTCTGGAAGTAAGACACTGAAAGAGACGTCAGCTTATTTGGAAAAGCAGTAATTTTGTTTTCTTTTTCTTTTAAAATCCAGGAGGTCTAACCTGGCCCAAAGGTTAACCACCCGGACTCGACACCGGCTTGGGAAGGAGCGTTCACCTCCATACACCTTCACAGGTTTGCCCATATTTACAGTCGTACTGAATTCTGTCCTGCTGGGCCTTTTTTATTGGCCTTCCGGCTTTCTAGTAGAGGCCTTTCCTTTTGATTAAGTGTATTCATTGATATTTCATTTAAGTAGCTTTGACTGTTATAATTCTATGGAAGCAGGTTAAATTTGGGGATTGCAGAATGTTTTCAAACAGTGCATAGCATAAATCTGCCTGTTGGAAATTTATGGCAGTGAAAAAGCAATATTCTTTTCTAGCATTGTAGAATTGGCTGATATTTAATTACCTTAGCTCAAGAAAAAGGGTATCACATAATGAAGACTGGTTTGAGGAGAAGCAGTATCAGCCTCTGTACTGCTTTATGCCACGCATTTGATTCTCAGCGGCGGCAGGGGAAGAAGTGATCTCAGCAGAGTTGTGTTGTCAGTCCAGTTACCCCTGAAACATGAGGTAAACTATCAGAGGAGAAAAGGAAGATGTTTTCTAGCTTGCGGTCAGTTGTATTTTTTCAGGTTAACTTATGAAGCTGCTTCAGATCTGCAAAAAAAAAAATGAAACGTGATTTATTTCCCGCAGTAATTCTGTAACGTTCGAAGAAAGGAGAAAAAAAAAAAAAAAAAAACACCAAAACCAACCCAATTACCCTTCTGACTGAAATGCCACCGACTCGTCACTCGGGGCGGTGGGTGAGCGTTCCTCTCCCCACTCGGCCGGGCGCACCGGGCGCTGCAGCCCTGGGCCGGGCGGGGGCCCGGCGGGTCCCGCACCGCTGCGGGCTGCGCGGGGTCCGGCACCGGCGGGGCGGGGGCCGGGGAGCCGCCCCCCCCGGCCCGGCGCGGCCCCGGGAGCCCCCCCGCGGGGGCCGTGCGCCGCCTGATTGGCCGCAGCGCGGGGGCCCCCGGGGACGGTGCCGCGGCGGCGGGAGGCGGCGGGAGGCGGCCGCAGGATGGGCGGCAGAGCCGGCTTCTTCGAGGTGGGTGCGGGCGGCGCCGGGGGCGGGGGGCGAGCCCCGGGTCGCGGCAGGCGCCTCTCGCTTCCCCCCCCCCCCTCCCCATCTGCATTGAAGCACCGGGGAGCCGGAGCCGGCCGCTCCCGGGTCTGCCGAAGCGAGTGAGCGCCGCTGGAGCCGGGCGGGGGGAGCCGGGGGGGACACGCCGCTCGCCGGGGTCTCCTCGGGGCGAGGGGGCAGAAGCGGCTCCTGTCCGCTCCGTCCTTCCCTTCCCCGCGCACCTTCCCTTCGCCGCCCCGGTGGTCCTCGGAGGTGGCCCCGCAGAGGGAGGGACGAAGCCGGGGGGAGGTCCCCGGGCTCCAGGAGGGCTCTCGGCGATCCGCGGAGGCGCCGATCAATGTCTCCGGATCCTCCCGAGGGCAGCGCCGTGGTCAGCCGGCCGCGGTGGGTCTGGCAGCGCATCCCAGCCGTAAGGAAAGAGCGAGAGCGAGGAATGTTCTCGGCACCTTCTGTCCCCAACTTCTTGGAAGACCCCGTCGCCAGCCGCCGTGCACCTCACCGACAGCCGTCCCGCTGAGATTTCCGGCCCGGGGCGGCTCGGCTCGGCGCGGCTCGGCTCGGCTCGGCGGCACGGAGCCGGCGAGAGGGGAGCTGGTGCCCTGGCCGGGAGGACGGCTCCCAGCCCGGCTCCCAGCCCCGCAGCGCGCACCGGCCCGGGGAGCAGCGAGGGAGGGCGGTGCCGGCGCCCCCCCCCCCCCCCCCCCCCCCCCCCTGCTCACACGGTGCGTTTCGGTCTTGCGTGGGAAATGAGAAACAACCGGAGTTTAGTCCAGTCAACTCCTTGTGTGTACAAGAAAGTGCAGAGTAACATGCAGCTGGGGAGCGTGAAGAGGAACGTATCTCATCAACTTATAAACAGCCACACTGACTTTTTTGCTAGAATTAGTTAGGCTGGCTAATACAAAAATTCTCAAGAGCGGTTTATATTACAAACACAGGGCAGTATAAGCTGAACGGCAGCAATCCTGAAGGTGTTTCTGCAGGGTTACTACACTTCAGTTTCTCCAGCACAACTCTCCTAAAAAGGAACACATTTCTCCCCCCCCCCCCCCCCCCCCCCTGCAAAATACAAACTAGTTGTTGTTATAACATTAACAGAATCCAACACAATCTGAAAAGCAGCTGCCCCTATAATTGCCTACCATGACCTAAGTGTTCAGATTTTGCTTTTCAAAGCTATAAAAGTGTTCTGGACATCACAAACAATTCAGCAAAATGAGCTATCTCTAGTTCTTGAGGGTGTGAGGGAGGTACCTGCACCCTGCCTTTTCCTCTGCAGTGTTGACTTCCCTGGTTTTTAGGAAAAACAACTAAGCTTTTCACTGTTTTCTGTACTTCTATCAGTGTCCCAAACTCTTGTGAGATCCAAACACAGGAGCAGGCACATGTTAATTACCCCCCTGAATGTCTTCGGTCGGTGTCTGGTCTGTAGGTTTGCTCTTCTGCCTTAGCCACACTGAACTTCTGAATAGCACTTGTTACTAGAAGACATCAAAAGCACAGACATCATTACTGTTACCCGATTTTGCAGATAGGGAAACACATGACAGTGGAATGACCCACTCCATCTTGCTAAGCAGAACAATAGCAGCAGATATAGGTCTTTTTGAGTCCTAAATCAAGATCCTGTGTCTAAGCAACACTAATCCAAGCTCAGAATGCCTCATGAATTTACATGTCAGCCTTGTATGTCTTAGTCCTTTTCTCTCTACAACAGATAACGGGTGGAAACAGATTTGCCTAGCTCATCCAGTGTGTGTCTGAGCTGACTCAGGGTGTAGGATGTGGACAAAGACAGCCTGGGTAGCACTGAGCAGTGCTGTTGTACATCACTTTCCGAGCTGTTCTCCCCACTGATTTGCTTTCTTTTATAAATTCCTTGAATTTGAATTCTGAACTGCATTTTTCCACCATGCATTCAAAACTGAGCTGCCAAAAGAGAGAAGGTAAATGTCTCAGCTGTCCCAGTGCTTCCTGGGGTGTGTGTGGGGTGGATGGCGAATCTCTGTTGGTGTTACAAACATCAGTGTTCCCTGTTAGAGGTACTGTATAGCTCTGTACTTTTCCCTGTACATTCCTAAACCATTTACCCTTTATTGCTCTTCTATGGTACTTCCTTATAAGAACCACAGAGCACTTTACAGTCACTGACCGTCGCTGTCTGAATTTTTTAGAATATGACTATGTTACAAGTTTAGCAGAAGTTTATTGATGGAATGCTTATTCCTGTTTTGTTGAGTTTGTGCATTTGATCATGCTTAGCACACAATCAATTTCATAAGTTCCTGAGTATGTAGGAAGATCCTCTCCCTTATGCATGAATAAAATTACTCTTTGGTGAATGGACCTACAAAGAGATGGTCAAGAACATCAGACTGACTGTGAGTGCTGAGACACTGGCTGTTAATTCCCATCCTTTTCTTTATGAGAGTATTTCGCTGCTACAGTCAGAAACACTTAAAAATAGGCAACATTGTATTAAAGTGACCATTAAGTCAGTGAAAGGCAGATTCAGCTTTGGAAGTACCTTTACCTCCTTATTTTGAATTGGCTGTGTTCACACTTAGTACCAAGAATTACGAGCAACCACCTAATTAAGCCAAAGTGATTTCCTCTACTTATGAGATGTCTGTATTAGAACTGATATGCAAAGTCAGGTCCCTGTACTCCTCGGCCTGTGTCTCAATGGCTGCTTCTACCTTTCCTCTTCTGTAATAATGCTAGAATAGGTCTTGTTTACTTCAGGTGTTGGTATGTTTCTAATTTCACCTCAGGTTTTTTATCACTAATAGCTCGGGGGAAACTTAGCAAGAACAACTACATTTTAAAGAAATATGTGCATACCTGAAAGTACTGCACCTAATAATTTGAGGAGATTTGCCTCTGAAAATGTAGAGATTTATGATACTTATATATAGATAATTAATATTCTCGAGGAGTGCTCATTTCTCCAAATTGATTAGAGAACAACTCTTCTGACCTATTTTAGATATGTTTCAGAGCTTAGGATACAGTTTATCCTAAAAGTGCCTACTTTTCTCCTTTCTGTACAAAGGATGTCTGTGTGACATGCTCAGATGCAGAAGTGTGTAGTAGAGAGCTCTGAAGTTAGGCTAATGAATTCTACCCTTTCTTTCTACTTGACAGGTTCAGGTCTTCAAAAGCATTTCCTATAAAGAAAATAGTGTGGCGTTCTGAATTCCTAGAGGAAGGATACTTGAACAAGTACACTCATACTGTAGAAAATTAGTATTACAAGAGCCACCGTTGCACTTCTGCTTCTTTAAGTGGTTTGGATGGGAAGAGCCTTTTGTGAGCTGTGATAACCAAAAATGTTTTGGACTCTTCACGTCCTGAGGATAGATTGAACTGACATATGCAGTGCAGTCTAAAAGCAATAATGTACTGGCCCCCCTTGCTGGCATTTAAAGCTTCTCCCCCTTTTGACTGTGATGAAAACCCTCTGAATGCAAGGGGGGGATGGCCACTGCCTAGCTAGCATTGCTGGGATGTCACAGCTCTTGTTACAAAGGTTTCTCCCACTCAGAGCTATGCTGTCTAAAGCCTTGTCAAGTAAGAGCACTGAGAGCAAGTGCCAAAAGCAGGACTGCAGAGGATTTTAAGATTCTGTATTCTCCAGGAGCTGCTTGAGCAAGACAAGGCCACATATGAGATATCTGAATGTTCTTTTAAAGGGACACTGCTGAAAATTGCCCTGCTATTTGGAGACACCTGCTCTGTTTTCACAAGTAACACGTAAGATTATTATCACAGAAAGAGATGAGAAGATAGGGAAAAACATCCTCCCTCTCTCTTTCCTCACCACCTCTCCACACACTTTCCAGCACTTTCTATAGTCAGTTATGCTGCTTCATTTAAAAGACAGGAATTTGTCCTTTTTCTCTACAGAGCTTGAAGGAGAAACTTAATTTTATATAGGAATATATGATAGTAAAACATTGCTTGACAGGAAATACCTGGAGCTACTCAGAATTTGAAGGCTACATTTGAAATCAAAAGTCTTATTTTAGAAAAAATAATAGACTTCTTTGAAGTATATTTTTAAAAAATGATACAAATCTTGTGAGTTCACCCATCAGTATAAGGGCTCCAGACTTCCCAGGGCTTCCTGCCCTATCAAAACACAGCAGATCCATCCTTGATACCTCTAGGTAAAAAAAAAAAAAAAAGGAAAAAAAAAATATCTCTTCACTCACTTCAATTCCATGTCAAAAACATACACTGAAGGTATATTTTGACATCCATAAACCAAATGACCCATGAAGAGTAATAATGGGACTATAGATACTGAAGTTCAACATTGTAAATTCCAGTGCCGATGCAAAGAAATTATTGGGCTTTCACAAAGAATTTATAAACCTACCTGAATATTGTCATTGTAGAAAATAATCGCCATAAACCAGAGAACCGAGGCAATGAATATTCTCTGTTGCCCATGGAAAAGGCTACGCAGTTGTGTTGAAAACCCTGGATGTCTACTTAGTATTGACTCAAAGTTGGCTTAGATTCTCAGATGGAGGCACTCCAATCCGCTTCACAGTGACAGGGATACTCAGTGAGTGATGTGACTCTTCAGTATGCCTGGGAAGCTGGCAACGTGAGGCTGTGTTAGCCAGTGTAAGTAAATACCCACTGGGTCAGCATTAACTGGTGCAGGTTCCTTTCCCATCTTGTGTATCCTCCTGGAAGATGTCATGCTAGTAAAAGCTGGAAGGCTTTCATGAGCCGGAATTTGCTGTGAAAGCACAAACCTCTAACAGCTTTTCTATTTCGTGAAAAATAAACCAGCGTCCCACTTCAAGGGAATACACCTTCCTTTTCTTTACTGACCATTCTTACACCAACTTTTTTTATCCCCTGTCAATTATATAACTGGATTTGTCTTTCTGAAGGACAAACATTTGCCTTAGTTCTTCTTTGGGAATTCCTCATGCAGCATGTGGCTAAGCTGTGGAACTCCCTGCCTCAGGACACTGTGCTTTCAAAAAGTTTACACAGGTTTAAAAGGCAAGTGGATAAACTAATTGAAGAAAAATCAGTGAAAAGCTATTAAATACAAAGGCAGCACTTCTGGTGCAGGAAAATCACAATTTCTGTGTCTGTCTCGTCTCCTCCCCTCCCCCCCAGTCACTACATTCTTGTCCTGTTTCATTACTTTTTCTGTCACCTGCTGTTGGCTGTATCAGAAAGAAAGATACCATTCTAGATGGATTCTTAGTCTCATCCTCTGCAACAGTTTGTACATTCCTGTGCAAGGGAAGTTTTGGACTGCAAGTCAGCTGTAGCAGCAGCAGCAACACAAACATCATTTTCAGTGTGTGTACACTTACAGTAATTTCCCTTTGGCTTATGTCTATTGACTTTAAGAAAGTTATTCTTGATATGCTCTGGAGTGAGATCACACTAAGGCATGCTTACTTCCTTCAGGAACAACACAGCTTATCAGAAAAGTCTAAGGAGACAGAGAAAATTACTAATTACATAGGAAAAATAAAATATTTAGAAAGATTTAATTAGGACTGTGGTAACTGTTGGATTTTTTTAGTGTTAAATTCAAGGAACCTTATTGATGTTAGCACTCTAATAGTTCAGGAAGAATTCATTCTGCATTATTCTTTCTTGGGCTGGTTGATTCCTAGACTGTAAAATAAGTAATTTTTTTACTGAGTAATTTCAAAAGAAATCAATACAATATATGCTTATGTCAGTGATCACAAAATCTCACTCAGCTAGAGTTTACTGAATCTGCTGAGTACAAATGGCTGCAAATAAAACTTCCAAGATGCACTGACATGATAAGTTTGTCAGTATTTCCATAATAGTTACATCATTTTTGAAGATCTGTTGATCCTTAAACATTTGATATGGCTTTAAACTGCAGGAATTTGATCGACTAGATTTTTGTAATCCTACTGCAGGGACACTGCACCTTAAAAATTCTTTTTTAAACACTGTTTGCTCAACTGGTTTTCCCCTATGAATAAACTTTTTCCCCTTTTATTTTCCCCTTTTATTTTCTGAGTAAAAGTTTAACATTTGAATGTACTTTTCCCTGTTTATATCATATATTGATTATTCTTGGACCTCAACCTGTTTTAAACAATAATAATCAAGAATTTTTCTGTTTTTAAAAACACTATCAATCTTTAATCCTTATGTACTAGAACAAATTTGTCTTCTAAACATTGAAGATATATATTTGTAGTCACTTGCAGAAGAGTTTTAACATAGCTATCTTGCACAAATCTGCCTATTGATTAAGCCCTAGTTGAAGTAGTTTTAGAGAGGCCATAATTTAAAATGCCTTTAAAAATTCACCAAATAAGTGGACTGTAAGTCATACTGCACTAGTGCAGGCCAACAGTCAGTGTCCTATTGTGCTAAATGCTTTGAAAACACATATAAATTAAAGTTCTCTGAGCCAAACAATTTAAGTTTGAAAGGGATGATACCCATCAGTAACTGTTCCAAGAACAGATTGCTGGGTATCTGAAAACTGTTGCCAACCAATACATTAACTGACTTGGTGCTGCGCCTGAAGACTGGAAACACAGTGTTCAGGGCTAGTGGGTTCATGTGATTGGCCATTATGTTCAGAAAAGATAACACTTCTTGCCTTGGATCAGGCTTTTGTGTCCCTTAAGCAGGGAACATTTAAATACTGGGGGATATTCTGATACAGCTAAGAGGCATGATAATTAGAGGAAACAGTCACCTTGTTTTCACTCTGTTGCACAACTTTCTACAGGCTGAAGTGGAATCTAAAGCTGTGTTCCTGTGTCCATCTTTCTGAAAAGGGAAAGAATGTTTGATATTTGCTTAGATCTTTAAAGTATCTGAAATGTTTGGAGTTCAGGAGTGGGTGTCCAAAAAAAAAAAAAAAATTGAATAGTTTAGGTTGCAAGGGACTTCTGGAAGTCATGTAGTCCAACTCCTGCTCGAAGCAGATACAACTAGATCAAATTACATTGGGTCTTGTCCAGTCCAGTTTTAAATACCTCTAAGAATGGAGATTCCACATCCTCTCTAGGCAACTTGTTCCAGTGTTTAAACAAGCTCACAGTGAAAAAATTTCCTTGTATCTGATTGGATTTTCCCATTTTGCAACTCGTGTCCATTGCCTCTCACCATTATCATGGTGCCCCTTCAAGAAGAGTCTGGATCTGTCATCTCTATAGGGTGCCTTTAGGTATTTGAAGAAATGGGCCAGTACAGGCAGGTACATCAGTTTGACACTTCAAAGAGACAGGCTGGAATAGAGTCAAATAATAGTATAGAAGATTTTGGATGATTTGTTTGTTTGTTTTCCACACCAATTCCAGAGGTTCACAGAAGTACCTAAATATCTGTACAGCCACTCCCATGAAAACCACAGAGCAAAAGATGTTCTGTAATTTTCAGTCTGGCCTTGTGCATAATGAGAATAACCCAATTAAAAGAGCGTAGGTGGCAGAAAGATATCCAAACCATTCTGTAATTGGCCTGAAGAAGATTTCTGTAATACAGGCACTCAAGGCCATAGACTAAAACTGCCCCTGGGGGATTCTGATCCAATATGTATATGCAGGGAGTGGGTATGGAATGGGAAGGAGACTGCTAAAGCTGTGGGACCTGCTGCAGTCTGTAGGGCAGCCCAGTGGTATTCACTGTCATAAGAGCTTTGAGATACACCAAAGGTTTCAGTAATACTTGTAGCAACTTGGCATCAGAAGGGGCACAAAATGTTTTACAGCCCCCACAGTATGTGTTCTGTGGACTGCAAGAGTCAGAATGCTGTATTTCAAGAATAGTCCTCTGGGAAGGGAATCCACTTAATTTGCTTTCCAGTGGACACGTCCCACAAACAGAGACATTAAAACTAGAAATTTGTGTTATTTCAAATATAAAAAACGAAGGGGAAACATACAATATCCCAATAATCTGTCACACATTCGTTACATATCACAAAGGAGGAAAAGTGCTTACCTCCCTTGATGTCCCACTGAGGGCTTACAATGCACAAGTAGAAAACATGACTGCATTGGTATTCCTTGTGGAGATCAGATTTGATATTTCTGGCTGGAGCTGAAGGGCTCCATTGCTGCACCAGTAGAGAAAGAACGATCTGGGACAAATAAAAGAAGGAAATAAGATACTTTAACCAAGTGATCTCTTCAAAGCAACCCTATTAGAAAGATGCTGGACTGTGACTCCTATTTTTAGTAAGGAATCATATTTAAAGTCTTGTGTTAATCTATCCTCTTGGCCAGTTAATACCAAACATAATTAATGCTGGATGTTTATTTAAAACAAGAACAACAAGCTCTTTTGGTACTAAGTAATGATAGTCCCCGGCATTTAGTGTGACAGGTAAGCTTTGAGCTTTCACTCTTAGCTATATCACAAAGCAACATTACAAAGTGTTTGATGGGAACAAATGAAATTAAACACCAACACTGTATTTTAGGTTTTGCTAGCCTTCTGCAACTGGACTTTGAAGTGTCTGGGGACTTTTCTGCTTGTCTGTTGATTAAAATCATAACCTTTTGCCAAAGTGCCATTTGATCACAGAAATAAACTGCTCTTTCCTTTTCAGAGCTGTAGCTAAACCACTGCTTGGGATATAAAATGCTAATATGTAGTTACTAGTACAGGTGACCTGAGATGCAAGAGTAATGCTGAGTATTCCTATAAAAACCTCTTAAGGATTTGTGAAGTCCAGATTTTTAGCTGCATCTGTTCATTATGTCCGCCCTTGTTTTCCACTCTCTTTACAATTAAATTATTCTGGGAACAATGCACATTAATCTTCAAGCTGTATGTACTCAGAATATTTGCTTACATGCACATATATGCACATTAAATTTTTTTCTTGAACTGTCTTTCTAGTTTTACAAATCATAAAAATTCTGTTCTTTAATGATTCCTGTGAAACTTCCCTATCTATCTCTTATTTGCTCCTTTTGCTCTAGCATAAGAAAATACCCCAGATCAATGTGCTTTGATCAATAAGTTAGCTGCTTCTGAATATATCCAAGAAGATAATTTATTTGGCAAGAATATTTTTTTTTTGTTTGCAAGTTGAGAGCTTTGAGAACCTGGCTATGTTTAAAGCTGCCTCTTGAGCACATCAGAATTGTTTTTAACACACTCCACAGACCATAAAAAAATGGTGTCTCACTCTGAATGATGATTGTGAATTTCTGAACCAACTAAGAGTTTAGAGATTATCCAATAATTAGTAATTATCATTTTGTGTCCTATCAGGTGGAAATCCTTGATTGGAAGACAAAGAAACTGCTGTGCTTCCTAGATAAGGTAAAATAAAAATCTGTTTAAAATGCTAGGTGACTATTCAAAAATTACTAACTTTTCTTAAGTAAACTTAGGTTTATGAAGGGTATTTTATCTCCTGATAGCCTTTCTTTGGCCAGTGAAGAGGCAGTAATTATGCACACTTCATACTGACTACAGAGTATTTCAAGCCCTTCCCAGAAGGAGCTTTTTGGCAAAGAGCACAACTTCAGCTGCTTCACTAAGATGGTGCCAGTTATGCCTTACTCACTCATAAGCCATCAAACTGTCACTGCTGTTGTAGTAACTCTTGATCACTGCTAGAGAAGCTGCCTCTGAAACAGATGCCACAAATTATCTTCCCTTTTTTCTGTAAGAAGTACTTTGAATCATCCATACTGATCCTAGCCATCTGTAAGAAGGTTATACTGTTACACTGTTTGAGTGACATATCTACTTGTATAGTCTTACACCTAGTAGTTGTCTTTCAAAATATCCATCTTACATATACAATATTTTTTGTTGCCTAGGTGGAACCAAATGCCACAATTAGGGAGATCAGGTTGATGTTCCATAAATTATGTGAGTATAACTTTTTGCAGCAGTTCACGTCACATCAGAATATTCAGTATATCAATAGGAGAAAATTACATAATTTGAAACATGTGGTGTATACACACATAATGCTAAGTAACCTGCACGTGAATGTGACCACAGTGAGATTTCAGTATCATTTTTTTATACTATCCTCATACCCCTTTATATTTTTTCTGCTGCATAATTTCTCACAGATATTCATGTTGAATAAACATTCCTAAAAATCTTTAACTAAATCTTATCTTGTTGTATTGCATTCATTATAATAGTGGATAACCCAAATCAAACATTGTATATCACACAACTCTGTATGGTCTTACAGATCCTCGGTGGTATCCAGCAAGGCAGTCGATAAAACTTGATCCAAGTAAGTATTTGTGAGGACTAGAGTAACAAAGCTCTGAGCAGAGGCCTGGCATAAGAAGTATACTTTGCATGGGTGTTAGCTCTTAAGAATGAGTTTCCAGCTAGGTTAATTAGCATTATGAAGGCTGAAGAGAATTCAGAACAAATTTAATTCTTTGAAGGTACCGAACAGAATTCCACCTGTGTGCCTGGTGCTTGGTAATTAACTCAGGAGTCTGCACATTGTTCCAATGCACTTTCTAACTACTGAGCACTTCTGCTTTCAGACAGGAAGCACAAAACCTAGATACTAATTTCCCTTAGCTGCAGTGACATGATCTCCACAGTGATGCTCAGCTGGGAGTACTAAAAAGGGCTATGAGTTAGAGCTATCAATTCACATAATCCTCTGCTCTCAGGTAGGAATTACAGTTCTTTTGAAGTAACATAATGCAAAACACATTGCCGTGGATGTAGGATTTGCTCACAAAGCTGATGCCAGCTGGCTTCATTAATGCAGTTGTAGGTATTGCTACTAGAAGCCTCTTAGTACATGGCCTGGGAGCACAAAAGAAAGTCTAATTGCCAAACTGTGTTAATTCATCTTAGTATTCAGTATAAAATGTAGCACTTTCTTATTCTGCCTTCGTTAAGCATAATTTTATTTAAACAGTCCCTTAAAACTACGCTGGTGAAGATTCGATCACTGTATAGGATCTGTCCATGGAAAACAGGCCTATCTTATTTCCTTCTTCAGTGATCTACCTTGTCAGAATCCTCCATGGACTTGTGTTATGGGACTTGCCATGCGAAAATGCTGGCCTTCTGGAGATCCCTCAAAATCTAGACATTAAAAGCTGGAGTACTAGCTCAAGTCCTGTGGAATCACCTCCTAGCTGGTTGGTTAGGAATAAAGGAGGCAATGAAAACCTCTGTAGAAGAGCCTTCCATTCTCAGCTTATCCTAGCTTCTGTTTGTCTGATGATGAGCAATGAGAAGAGAGGAAGAGAGAGGAGAGAGATGGAGGTGCAGCTGACTAGGAAGTCAGTGAGCTATGTTAAAGGGCAGTGACCCATCAGCAAATTCTGCTGCAGCAGTGATGAAGCAAGTCTAGTAGACTAGGCAGGCACATAGGATTGAGAATTCTCCTAACTGTCTTGGTGTGAATAGAGGATCCAGGATTATATGTGATTGCAGGGATAAATCAAAATTAAGTAGAAATACTCTTAGTTTGTTTACTGAAATTCTAATAAACCCACGTCACGTCAAAGAATCTCACAGATTGGTTAAAGCACAATATAAAGCTAATATGCTACCAAAGTTGACTTGAATTTTGCTGAGATGTAATTACTTCTTTCCTTCTCAGAAGGAAAGTCCCTGAGGGATGAGGAAATCCTGCAGCACCTCCCTGTTGGCACAACTGCTACCTTATACTTTAAAGATTTAGGGCCACAGATAGGATGGACTACGGTGAGCTATGCTTCAAGTCTGAGCCATTTTAATGGCTATTTTTCCATAATTAATCCTTACATCATTTTTTGTCTCCAATATTTCTGCATGATGCCTGCTCTGACAGTGGATGCAGGCAATGAATCCTCATTGCTTCAGTTCATTTAATCAGGGGAAAGCAGTAACAGGATATTCTGAATGCCTGGTTCCCTGGGAGAGCAGTAGCAGAAAACTTGCTGCAGGGTAGGTTCACTCTACTGAACTAAGGTGCAGGTTGTCAAATGAATTTAGGTGTCTACTGCAAAAGCACTAGGAACTAGGTGTCTAAATGCCTTTGGGGATCTGCTTCACAGAGCCTGTGTAACTCTCCTGACAAAGTTCAGGATTATACTCCTATGAGTTTGTCCTGCAAAGCAATGTGTGAGCAGCTTCACATGTCAGTAATCAAAGTAACTTCAGCAGGAAAATGCATGAAAGTAAGATCAGTTAGCTGTCTGCATGTGGCTGCATCCTAGGATGCTAGTGGCAGGCTAAAGACAGCTGATAATTTCTGCAATATTAGTAGCCATCCACAAAGACCTCGCATATTTACTGTCCTAGCTCAAATGCAAATTCCATCACAACTCGCTCAGCCCACCACACAGCACGGCTGTTTATTCAGCGAGGTGACCAATAACCCTTCCAGTTCTTCAGAAGCACCATGATGCACATATTACATTAGTTCTAATGAAACAACACAGCACAAAGGGAAAAGTACTCGGTAATTTAAAGGCACACTTACCACTTAGCTATGAGACATTAATAAAATCTTGTGCTAATGACAAATAGCAAAGACAACATTCATAGGAGGTGAAATAAAAAAAGTCTAATGTTCTGCAAGACTGAATCTTCACATTAATACTTTGGATGCAAAGCTAATAAATCAGGCAGCTGTTATACAACCCAGAAAACAGTAAGACAGGCAAAACTTCTAATGGCCATGTAGACTCCAAGACACACATGCATTAATGTATACCAAAATGTCACAGTGCAGAGTAACACCAGACTTCTGTCATTTCATAATCTTTCCTTTACATTCTGCTCTCCCTGCCCTTCAAGCTACTTCATTCAAATATAAGCCAAGAAATACTTCAGTCTTACCAAATAAAAAAGACAAACTTCTCATCAATAATCAAATCTGATCTTCAACAGAGAAAATGCTGATTGCTACAGAAGTCGATAACACAACTTTTCTGAGTGTCAGAATAACTGTAAATATATTAGAAGGCAGGGTTTTTTTCTTTTGTTTTGTTTTTGACAGAAATATAATCAATTTCCTTTCTTTCTCCATAAATGAGGTATTGACCTACCTTCCTCACTCACAGAATTGTGGAAAATTCAACTGTTAATGTTTGGTTCAAAGTTAACTTTAATTTAAAGTGATGTTCCTAAGAAATACACACCTATCTGAAATCAAATCAAGTTAGATGAGAGATTCTTTGGTTTCCTTTTTTTTTTTTTTCTTCCTTTTTTTTTCTTCTTTGTGTTGAAATTAAAGATTGTTTGAACATAGAATGAACTAATTGTTTCCCAGGACATCTGCCATGCTAACTGTTCATACAGATGGGGTCACCTGTGAACACTTACAAGCTGTGTTTCCAGTTTAAACAAAATTAATTCATTAGAAACAAAGCTCCTAATTTTAAGATAAATTCTTCACCAAATTTCATTTTAACCCAAAATAAAACAGCAGTTTTTGAGGGCAAGAGGAGGGTGTGAGCTGCAGAAACGTAACATGCATGCATATTCATCATGATCTCTGGGCTGCCATGATTACCTTTTCATACCCATACTGTGTCAGCTGCACTGGCAATGGCTGTTTGTATGTAACTGAGGAAAATGCATTGCAAAACATTTACATGCATGCCTACCACCTTCATAGCCCAAGCCCAAACCTTCTATTCCCTCCCTGCCTCTCTAAATCCCATCTTGAGTCAGTGGAGGTGTTTATCCCACTACATTAGTTATCACAAAGAAGCCAAAGCAAAACCACCATCTAATTCAGCTGTCTAATTATTTTCTCTCTTTTTGCAGGTATTTTTGATAGAATATACAGGTCCATTGTTCATCTATTTTCTGTTTTATTTCCGCATGCCTTTTGTCTATGGACTGGATGAGAGGTTTGCATCAAGCCCGCATCCAGTAGTTAAGTAAGTTTGTTTGCAGGCTTGAGCAGTATTTCTTGTTAGCATTATAGTCTTATTCCAAATGTCTTGCCACACTTGTTTTTTTAAGCACTCTTAAATGCTTTTGTCTTGCTGTTTCTAGCTTGGCATGTATCTGCCATTCTTTCCACTACATCAAAAGGTTGATTGAAACAGTATTTGTTCATCGGTTCTCCCATGGGACTATGCCACTGAGGAATATTGTGAAGGTAAATTGTGTCAGAATCTATCCATAGCCCCCCTTACAAATCCAACTTAGCCAACCTATGCTCTGCCTCTGCAGCACAGATTTTTTGGTGTGGCTTTTGTAGTAATGCACAACAAATCTCACCCATAAATCTGTAGTTCTTTCAAAAGACTTCTTATTGTCGCTATTGTATACCCACATGTTGCCATACTGTTATTCATGTTATAGTGATCTCATTACTCTTAGCATTTTAAGCCTTCAGCATACCCTTCCTTTTCACTCAGCTAGCCCCTTGGGTCTGAAGATTTTAGTAACAATGTTAACTTTTAAGGTAGCACAGGCACAGGCAGGCATAATATTGGGACGGTTGCTTTTTTTAAAAAAAAATTTCTACTTTTTGTAACAGTTATTTTACATATTCTTTGCCCCTCACCTTCTCTTTGCTGTTGATCAATTGTAGTTTACCTTTGATCCAGTGCAAAGCAGCTTGATTGTTCTGAATTTTCTTCTGGAGGAGCACTCCCTTATGTTACCGGTGCGGTGGTGGTGTAGGGCAGCTGTTGAGATGCAGACCCCTATTTTGTAGATATCTGCAAAGTAGTACAGTGGACTGCATGGTCATGTATGGGCAGTAGTTATTTTACAAATGTTTGCAACAGAGTACATGCTGGTATTCAAAAATAGACTTTATACTCAGGAAGACAGGAGATTATAATCTACAACTGGAAAAGCATATTGTATAGTATCAGCATTTGAGTATTTAACATTTGGTATTTAGACATTCCCTTGGAATTTGCATTATGGCAGTGATACTCCCAGCAGCTGAAGCTCTACCTGTGGCTAACTCTGTACAGCTGTGCAGTGGCTCTGGTAGTTCTGGCAATAGCTTCATGCTTTCCAAATGGAAGGAGCTTCTGTAGTTAAGCAGTGGCCCTCAGAAAGAATCCTTCTGAGCCACTTACTGTGTTTTCTGCAGCAGAAGAGTGTGGGGGTTGTTAAAAAGCTAGCAGATCTCTTAAAAACTTGCTCTTGATCCAATAGTAGCCAATGCATGCTAAACAGCAGATAAATGAGCAACTTTACCTTGAAAAAGAATCTGTACAGTGTGATAAATCTTAATTTCCTCACTGCCATCTCTGACAACTACTCATTCCTTTCAGACCATACAAACTGTTGTTGCTAAAACCGACATTCATACCAGTCATTCTGGTCACTTCTACTCTTCCATCTTCTCAGGTTTGTGGTACCTACTTTCATCTGTAAAGTTGCTCACAGTTCTTCTTCTACCTGCTTAGCAGTGCTTGGGTTTGATTTGCTTTTATAATTTCATTGACTTTGGTGGTGTTACTCCAAAATTGTGCCAGTGAGAAAATATCACATACTTTTCCTTTTTTTTCTGTCACATACAGATGGTAGACAAAACTTCTTTAAGTGTTTGATCACATACATAGCAGATATAGATAGATTATTTCCTAAGCACAGTGGAAAGCTACCTTTAACAAGAGACAATTCAGTCTCAAGAAGCAGAGATCTGAGACAGGAATTGATAATATTTTTGATTTTCATCCTTTGTTTCCCAAATAGAATTAGGAATAAATGGTGCTGTAAAATGCAGCAGGGGTTCACCAAAAGCAGTTCATGCTATATACTAACATAGTATAATTCTGTCTAAGGTACATTATTTTTCTAGGCAATGGAAAGGTAGAATTCCTGATTTATCTGGACTTGGTAAACAACCGGCTTAAGGTGAATAAGATAAGCATTAATACAAAAATTGTGTAGTGATAAAGGAACTAACTTAAGGAAAAATGATCATGGCTGTGCCAGAAAAGGATCTGTCAGACCTTTAATAATAGGGAGGTACCAGTGGAATTCATCACAGATTAGTCTTAAGACTGGTTTTACTGAACATTTTAATAGGAAAAAAAGGATATTGTTGCTTTCTATAAAATCATCTGGAGAAAAGAAAACACTACACCTAAAGAAATACCATTTAAGCCACAAGACAATATGAGACAAACAGAAGGGTACATGATGGTCATGAATAAACATAGGCAGGGCATTAAGAAATAGTTTTCATCCTCATAGGGATCATCATTTGGAGTAGAGGAAACAAAAATCCTAACCAGAACTTTGTAAACTTAAGAATAATTTATTTAGGGGATCCCTGCAATATCTGAACTTGATCCACAAAGCAGTTTTATAAGAGATTGTTGTAAAACTTTATCATTCACCTGGAATATGAAAGATACACAGAAACAATTTCTTTCTTTCATGTGAGTTTATGAAGTCTGCATGTACTCTGCTGTTCCAATCTGAACCTCACTGGAGGCTTTTGTATGAGCTATAAGGCTTCTACTGGCAGCTGGGCATTTGTAGCATTACTGCTAAGGACCTTAGCGGTGGCAGACTCCACTCATCTTAAAGCTCCTTTTCTTATAACCGAGGAATACTCTTGCAGTAAATCATGTTCTTTGGATGAACAGTACTTGTTCAGTTTAATTACAGCATGTATAGTTGGGAGCTGAGTCATGATCATTTATTTATTTAATGTTACTTTACTGAAATCCATTGCCATATGATCTATCCTGTGCCAAGCCCCAAAATCAAGGAAGGGTTTTTCATAAAATGCCGTTCCAAGATTACAAGAAATTGTTTCTGCCTAAGTCTGTAGAGCAGTCAGTAAATTGTAGGTGATGGTGGAAGAAACTAGTGTTGGTGAGGAAGCAGTAGTTTATGGATAGACCACTAACTAGATTGTTAGACTGATTGGAGTCATTCTTTGGGCTCTGCTGCTTTTCATGGGGAAAGGGAAATCATCACAGGGAAGTTACTTAATCTCTCTGCCCTTTTATCCTACCTGATCTGTAATTATTGGTTAATAATTTGCTCTTTCCCATCAGTTATATATTAATATATAATCTCAGAGCAAGGACATACTATGTGTTTGTATTACAGCATACCCAAAGGGTGTCCATTTTCTCTGAGGTTTCTGGACACTCCAGTGGTTCAATTAACTCTGAAAAGAAAGTGGATATGCAACAGAATGTTTGATACAAGTGCTTGCAGCAGATGAGCCCTCACCAGCATTTTCAGAAAACCACACTGTCAGACACTGCAGTCAGCTAAAAAAGTTAAACCAGTCAGGACAGGAGAGAATGCAGCCTTGGACAAGAATTTTGGCTGCACTAGTGGGAAAGCAAAACTGTGAAGGAAAAAGCAGAAGGACCTAGAAATGTCTAAGGTATGTGAACCTATTGGAAAGCCAAGAAAAAAGTATCACCAGAAAGAGTAAGAATATAAGTGTTTTACTCAAGAGTGAAAACAGGAGGGAAGGAAAAGAAGAGGAGAAGCGGTGAAAGGAAGATAAAAAGCTCAGTTTTGATCTTGCTGATGTCCAGGTGATAACCAACATGCTCTGAAACATTAAAAACTGAGGCACTAGGTTTAATAAAGGAAGGAATCTCGACTGATGAGAGGCAAATTTGGGACTTGTCGACAAGGGTTAAAGTTTATCTGCAAGAGAATGATGCATAGAGGTAAGAGCATAGAGGAAGAAGAGGAATGGGCCAAGAAAAGTTTTCCCTCCTAGCTACAGATATATAAGGAGGGAGAAGATAATGTGTCACCAAGATACCGAAGAAACAGTGAGTGTCAGAATAAAAACCACAAGAGGCAGGGCCAGGAAATCCAAATAAGAGACTGTAACTGTAAGTAGTTTTTTTCATGAATGAAGCCTGTGAACAAGCTCTGAATTTGGTCAGGAATGTGTCAGTACAACCACTAGTGACAGCTATGTTGTGAAAGTTTAGAGAATAGAAGCTGGATCACAGAAAGCCAAGGACAGCAGCAGAAGGGACAAACGAAAGATATCACAGTGAAAGGGCAGAGGAAAGCATCAAGCATGATGACCTTAGCAGCAAAAGTTAAAGCATGTGAAAGAAAGAAAACTGATGGGGTGAAGGAGAAGAGGAAGGGCAAGAGATTGGGCAATACAAAGTAATAAGCAGGGAAGAGAACACTGTACTTAAATTTGGTTTTACAAAGTGTCAGGGGTTAGGAAAACAAGTCTCTCTTTTTTTAGATAGCCTGTATGGCACTTCATCTTTGGCCAACTGGCTTGCCAGACAAGATAAATTTGTTTTCAATAGCATGTTCATACTTTCTAAAACTGTTTATAAACTTAACAGCTCCCAGATATTTGAGAGGAAATCTTTATGAACACTACTTCCTTCCTGGTGTCTCTTCCCACATTACCACACTTAGTATTGTCATTTTTTGTATTATCAGCAACTTGAAGGATCAGCCCAATTGATTGTTATCAGTGGTCCTTGCAGTGAATATTAGCCTAGAGGATTGTACTAAAACAAAGAAAAATTCCCTGTTTTTCAGAACTGCTTGTATTACTGGGGTTTTGCAGCTTGGCTTGCTTATTACATCAATCATCCTCTTTACACTCCTCCTTGTAAGTAGCATAACATCCCTCAATATGATTTAAGTACTTATGGTTTTGTATATTAGTACTAATCACATGTAAACTTTTTTTTATAGCTTATGGGAAAAAACAGATAAATTTTGCTGTGATCATGTTTCTGGTAGGTCTTTTGCTCTTTTTATAAAATGCTAAAACATGTTGTTTAAGTGGAGGAGTGAGTAGTATAAACAGATACTTGAACACTTGGGACATACTACTAAAGCTGACCACTTGCACTCCGAACAGGTACATCTGCGTTTTTAATGTGATCTTGTACACAAGGGAAGATTTTGATCCAGTATTCATTCAGAAACTGGGATTTTTATCTGCTGGGATGACCTCTCATAATCTTTAAAAGAATCCTGGAACTACTTTGTGACACTATGTTTAAAAGCCAGTGAGTTTGTTTTGTGAACTGTTTACTGAGTGTTAAGAATCACAACAGGTCATAAAACTTGGAGAACTGGCCAACTAGGAAAGTATGTTGCTGATAATTTCCAGGGATAGAAGTTCATTTTCCTGGGCTTCAGAAATTTTTTACAGCTTTCCTTAAGGAGCAAATTTCTTCAGTCAGTGTCCATTAATTCTCACAGTTCCTAGGAACTTTTCATACATGCAGAACCGATGTTAGTGTAGCCAACAAAGATGTACCCATTTTTCTTGTATGAGTAACTTGTTCAGAACATCAGCTGTTCACTTGCTTTGGGAAACTAATCGTCAGTGATTGCAAGATTTTACAGCAGTTTCCCGGTATGGAAATCCTGTGAGTTAATAATCTATTCCCATTTGATAGAGAGACTAGGTAACTGAGCTGGGAATAAAACTCAGGAGCTCTGACTACCAGTCATCTGCTTTAATAGTTATGCTTTGCAGACGCTGGAGACTGTCTGTAATCATATGAGTGGGACATTTCAATATACTTTCTACATAATTGATTGGGGAAGCATTATTTAAAACCAGTGGATGAAGCTGGGTCAATTATATTTCATGACTCATAAATTATACTCTAGAGAAGAAAACTTAGAGCCCAACGCATATCCTTGGGATTTTAATAACTTCTGAGAAACCAAAACTACCCAAATCAATATTCTAGGTGTTTTTAAAGACATAAGAAAAACTAAAATATAAAGCAAGGATCTCCTGGACTTACTTTTATCCCCTTTGGTTTACTGCCTTTAGATCTCATGGGGATTTTATAAGTAGTGTATTTGATCTTTTGGACACTGAGTCCACATTTGCTGACAAATATTACAAATATATGAACTCATGTTTGAACAAAGACATTCCTCCTCCTATTAGAGAGCAATCTTGGTTAAGTATATTTATTATGGTACATTAACTCCCATTTTCTAACCTTGTTTATAATAGATTGGTTTCCTTTTTTTTTTAAAAAAAAAAAAAAAGAAGTATCCCAGGCAATAACAAAAGGAAGAAGAGTAAATAGAAGGGAAGCACAGTTTTAATTCTGTTATGCTTTTTCTTGCAGCTGTGTGAAGCTGGAAATTTTTCCATTCATGTTGCACTCAGTGACCTCCGGAGAAATGGTAAAAATCACATTATAATTTTGCACTTTTGCACAGCCATGCAGCACTTCTACAGTTATGCTACCTCATGAAAGACCTGATCCTGGAGGGCATTGATACCTGCCCAGCTGACTGCTGTGGGCCCACAGCTTGCTCAGCACTGTAAAGATTCAGTGCTAGCGGAGATCAGACAGTGCAAGGAACCCAGCAACAGACTGTTTAACAGCACTTACCTAACTTTAATTTTTATTGGTTAGGACCAGATTGTGTTGGGGACAGCAATTATATTAGTTACACTGGCAGTACTAAAGGAAACAGTGCTAGTATAAGCTATGCTTTGGTGAGAAAGGGAAAGTAATTTCACTGGCTTGTACAGGGGGCACAAGATCTCTGTGCAGGCCAGGGTTCCTTGGGCATGAGCCAAACATCTTACAGCTGTCAACTATGACTGCAAAAACCCCATTCTGTGACAATCTGAGAAAACCCTTAACTTCTAAATCTAAAACTTGAAGTACCTTTTACAGGAGTGAGTGTGATCAAAGGCATATGTAGGTGACTTTCTAATGCCCAGAACACTTTCCCACAGTTATCCCAGTCCTTCTTGGGGGTCCAGAGGACATCCTGTTTTCCCACATCCTGCTTGTCCCTCTGACAGTGATGAGACACAGGAGTAGGCAGATTTGGGTTGTTTATATAGGAAACAATATATTTAGGAGTGTGAATATTTTGTGATTTGTTTTCTAATCTATAGGATCCAAAACCCGTAAGATCCCATATCCAACAAAGAATCCTTTCACATGGCTGTTTTTCTTTGTATCTTGCCCTAACTATACATATGAGGTATGTATTTTCAAACAAGATGTTAAGATTTTAGTTTTGCTGAATATATTTTCATTTCTTTTGGAATGTTAAACATGGAAGAAACCTTGGAAGCACTTCAGCTCAATACATTTCCCCTCCTCCCTTGAACCCCATGAAAGCAGATTGCAGACAGGAACTTGTCTGTTCTTCCCCTCCTCCCTTGAGGCAGTACTTGCAGGGCTAGCCTTAAACAGACAACTCACACCCTGGGCCTGTGCTTCAGTCTGGCTGCTAGACAAGACAGATACACTTTAAAGCAGTGCAAATTTTGCCAACAGGAAGAGGGAGAATGCCACTGAATGTGTGTTGCAATGAGAGGGATGGGGGCATCTGGTGGGTTTATAATAGAAGAGAGCCCAGGAATCACAGTATGGAGGAAGACAGTGGGCAGATGAATAGAAGATATTGTGGTAAATAGGGAAATAGACAAATAGAAGGTATTGTAGTAGAAAGCCCAGGTCTTCTTTGCCATTTTCTTAAGTTATACATTTGCTTGTGTTGGTGGTGACTGCTTTAGAAGCTTGAATCGGTTTATCACTTCATATTCCTTAATCAGGAGCCAAACTCCTGACTCAGTTCAGAAGTAGGTAAAACTAGTGCAACTCGGTGTAAAATTCACTCTTGCACAGAAGGACAGCACCAGGTTTTAACTTCAGTGGAGATTAGCAGATGTTAATGAGAACAGCATTTGGCCTCAGACTTTAGAAAGTTACCATTCCTAGCATTGAAGGAGGTGTGACAAACACAAATTAGGCAGCGAAAGAGGAAGGACACTCTATTGTAATGCTTAAAATTTTGTCATGATAATGGCTATGGAAGCAAACACAAAGGTTTTGTTTGTGATAATAAGGCACTGTTTACCTTTTTGGCTAAAGGTTATTAACACTAGAAATTGATTTGGCTGACCTTGGCTTTTTTATTTACCTATACTAGGACAAGGTTGGTTTTGATCAATAAAGACATAAATGCAAATGCTGTCACCAGAAATATTTTAAATTTCCTTGGCCAAAACAGGTGGGGACGTGGATCAGTTTCACTATCATGACTCAGTGTGTTCCAGGTGAGTAATGTTTTGGTATTGCACCCTGAAGTGATGTCAGCAACAAGAGTGTGTTTTCAATCTGATAATGAAACATATCTTTTTCTCCCTTCCTTCCAGTGGGGCTGTTCACCTTGCTTTGCTTCATTCAGATGACAATCTGGGCAAAAGATAAACACTGCACCTACCTACGAGAATTCAAGGATTACCCAAGTCTTCGAATGCCAATTATTCCCTTTTTGTTGTAAGAAAAGTAGTTTGATTTGAATATTGCACAGAACTTTGAGAAGAAAAAGCTCATAGACCTCCTGCCAAATAAGTGAATTAATTTAAAGGATTTTGGTGCATGTTGAATCTCCACTGCTGAGGGGAATTTTATGCAATTGAAAACTACACTTCCTTACATCAAGAATTCTCAACTCAGAAGCACCTTCCAAAAATAGGGCTTCATTGCACAGCTGGTAGTCAAAAGCCCCTACAGTTCAGTGTAACCTGATTGACTTAGATTTTCCTGTACTAGTCTATTTAGATTGATGGATCAGAGATACTGAGAAGACTGCTGAAAAGCAGCTCCAAATTTAGCAGTGGCATTCTGCAAGACATAAGTACATTGGAATGAGGACATACCAGCTAACTACTAGAGAGCTCAGCTCAGCCAGCACAGCCAGCTGGCCTGAAGACAGTTCCATGATCTGCCTTCTTTGACATGAAGAAGAGAGTGTGCTGCCTGGAGGCAGGTGCTTTGTAACAAACAACATTACCAAAGAATATGAATGGATCCTGTAATAAAGAAATAGGCAATATCTCAAATGCCTGATTTGGGTCTGAGCCCTAATTTGCCAGGAGAATCTGAAGTAAAAAGTATTTGTAGTATTTATGGATGTAGCATCCTGCACTGTTGGGTTTTTACTTTGGTTGTTTTGGTTTTTTGTTTTGTTTGGGTTTTTTTGTTTGTTTTTGTTTTTGTTTTTTTAAGTCTTCTTCATTAGTAAACTGCATACTAGTAAATAACGTTCAGAAGATCTGATCTATGCTATAACTTTGATATCTGGCCTGTTTTCATATAACAAGTCCTTATGATACTAAAGGACCTTTTACCTAGCATTTTATGTCAGTATTCTCTGAATAATTTTTAATACACTTTGTAAACACATGAAGTCACTACGAGTCCTCGGAATGCTAGCTCCCTTCCTATTTTCAGAGCCAGGGAAAAAAATCAGCTACATTTTGGACTTCCTGTGTTTTCTTTTTCACAAGATGTTCAGTGGGACTTAGTTGGATTTTGTGCAAATCTAGTAAAAAAAGACTATTGCAATCTATCTGAATGACATTTTAAAGAAGCTATTTTAGAATATGAAGAGAATGCGTAGATACTGTTTTGTTTCATGATTAATTTATTTATCTATAATGGATGTATAGAAAGATTTTTGCAACTATTTGTAAGGGTGAAATATGCAATAAATTCTAGACTATATTTTGAAATCAGTTGAAATAATTATGGCAAAAGAAGACTACAGCTGGTTGCTGAAGTTTTGTAATATTTTGTACAGTAAAAAGGAAGAATGTCCTTACATTAAAAAGAAAAAAAAATTACATCAATTGAAGAAAAAAAACCTAACAAAGCAAAAATACATGACCCAGATTTTATTTCTGTATAACATATCTTAGAGAAGATTTCTTAGAAATGGTTAGATCTGGTGGTTAACTGAAGCAATACATCATTGTGAATTTGTTTTTTTCCACTAGTTTAACTGTGAACCAGAGAAAAGAGGTAAATGTCAAATGAGTTCCCTACACTGAATACAGTGTAGAGTACAAGCAGGTTGAAATTTTCCTTCTAAGCACATAGAAAGCACATACCCTATTCATACTTTATACCCACCTAAGGTCCATTCACAGGAAAGAAGAAAAAATTGATCTTGTTCAGTAACAAAGATATCTTTCCAGGCCTCCATGAGAAAATAAAACTTTTGGCAGATTTGGACATCTTCTCTTACCTTTTAATCTCCATTTTGACATTCTGCTTCTATCTGAGAAACTTTAAGATGAGTATGAGATAAATTTAATTAAGTGTTTTTTGTTGGTTTTTTTTTTTTTTTTTTTTTTTTTAAGCAAGTTTCTTGCCTGGATCTGAGATCTGAATTAATTCTTCCCATTCTTGTTGAGACAACTGTCTGTTTTCACTGGCAGCCTGGTGAGACAGTGAAGCAGTCTCCCAGCACTTGCCCCATCAGCCAGCACTGATGTTCTGACTTTGGTAGTCCTGTGCATTCAGGATGGCAGGAATACACTTCTGAGCTGGGCAATGCTCTCTGCCTTGGGACCTGTGTGCTGACTGGTAGCAGATGACTTAAGAGTTAAACAAGAAAAACCTACCAGCCTGAAAGGAGCAGATAGAGAAACTGTTGACCTGTAAAGAGCACTGAAGGCAGGGAGGAATGCAACTTCTCTTCTTGTATCTTATAATGAACTTTATGTTAGAGGAAGATTCTGTCAAAGGCAAGGACCTGCCTTTCCTTTGACTGTCAGCATGTAGTGCTCCTGGTAGAGCAGTAGAAGTTGGGCTGATGCTAGGCCTGTTGCTGTTGTGAGCACAGTGCTCAGAAAGGTGCAAAAAAAATCAGTATAATACTGAGTGTGGGAACCTTTGTTTCACCCTTGTACTGCTCTGGTATGGCACATCTTTGTGCACACTCAAAGCACTAGTGACTGTAGGAACAGTCTATGCAACTGCCTGCTGGTGCAAAGCAGGGGACACCTTTGCTTCTCGTCTAGCTCCAGCTGCACGGGGATGCAAAGGAATTTCCTCATCTTCCATCTGCTGTTTAGCAAAGTTCACAAAAACCTGTGTGAGGAAAGCAGAAAATGTTACCATTTCATCAACTGAGATGAGTTAGTGAAATGTCTCTCTACATTTGCATCCTCTTGTCCTCTCTGCAGGGAAGAGACAGAAAGGGGAATCCGTAGACCTGAACTGAGACACTGTGTATCAGCAGGGATCATTAATTCCTCTTTATTTTGATAAACTTTTTTGCAACTTCCTTCCTTTGGCTGCACTTACTTGTAACCCAAATCCTATTTCTTCTTGGGCAGGACATGGGTTCACCAAGGTTTGCATGGCTTGCACAACGTAAGTTTGGTTGTGATGGGAAAGAGAAGACAGAATATTTGAGTAGGAAGCTGTAAGACAGCCAGGAAAGTCTCTCTAGCATTTCCATCAGACAGCTTTGCGTATGTGGACCCTCAGCTACTTAGGGAAGCAAGCAGATGGTGCTAATGCCCTCCAGCAAGTGGGTGTTGCCAGCAGTCCCAGTGGACTTTCCAGATTTTGTGTGTCTAATCACTCCAGTATAAAAGTGCATGCCAGAAACATATAAACATTTCACTAGATATCACAGTATCTCTGACACAACACAGTCCAAATCTCTTATTTCAAGTAAAATGTTATTGCCAGTTCAGCAAGACGCATTCTGAAGAGCTGACCTTGCTCAGACTGCTGCTCCTGAAGGAATGGGTTGTGTTAATTCTGTCAACTGGGAAACATCTTACTGGCTTTCAAGTGGCACCTATTTACACAGGGAATTAGTTACAGATTTCATATCTGATCCACCCTCCTTGATGAGGGGTCTGGGAATTTTCTCTAGAAAGAGGTGTGAGGTAATTCTCTGCTCTCAACAGTTTGTTTCTTCAGTTGTTTAGATACATCCCTATTGCACTGCCTAATTCTTGCCAGACAGGCTCTTTATTTTTTACTCACCTGATCTAAAGTTGTTTGAGACACAGAATATTCTTCAATATGCAAATTTTCCTTGTTGGAGATTATTAACTGGAAAATCTTAGCCAGAGAAGAGGAGCAAATCTGATACTGTAGCATGTTGTAGTGTTTCTCTCTCTGTAAACTCCCTGGGAAGTTCATATGTATGAATTGTTCAGCAGGAGTAGGATCTGGAGGCAGCCCAGACTTTGGAGCTTTGATTTTCAGAGTGACAATGTAGCCATCTCCGAACCTGGGAAGCACATGTGGATTTGGGAATTGGATGAAGAGATGGTTTCATTATTCAGGAAGGAAATTAATTTTCTGCAGCTATGAAAACATTAATGGTATCTGAAAGATAATGCATAAAATCTAGCTTTGTAGGAAGCTCTGTATTTGCCCTGCAGAAGCGGTGTGTAGCATAACAGAGGTGAAATGAGATCAGCTCAAATCATCTCGGCTACCACAGAGTTGCACCCAGAAATGGATCTGTTTAAACAACAGATCTTCACTTTGGATTGCTGTATTACGAATGGTACGTCACATACACTAAGCTTTCTCACTAAAAAACATCATAAAAATATTCTACTTACTTGTATTTTAGCTGCTGAATTGTGCCCAGGCATTTGAAGGTACCTTTTACCATTATGGCTAAACGAGTACAGAGGGCTTCACATTCTTCCATACTTTCAAAATAGAGAACAGATATTTGAGATAAAAGCCAGCAGATGAACTTCAGCTGCTCTGGGATTCTGAAATCTAACTTTTTTTACCTGTGTGAGGTTAGAACCACAGCTCGTCCATCTCTGAGCACGCCGACAATGGAGTCCCACAGAAGGCGCCGGGACTGAGGGTCCATTCCAGTAGTAGGTTCATCCTGTAAAGGAAATGTTAAGACAATCATAATCAGAGAAACAGATAAGAAAATCTATTTAGAATCAACTCATGGTATGTTTGGGCCTTAACATATAGCTGCTTCCCTGGTGAAATCTGTGCCCTGAGAAAGCATATGCACCTTGAGAAGCATATGAGTGAACGGGTACTAATGTACTTCTTGGCATAAAGCAGTAAGGAAACAAGTATAAGAAACTGCAGGTAGGAATATAATGCTGCCTGTGCAGGGCACAGCTACAGGGAAGGGAATGCAGTGACCATTACAACAAAGGCAGTCCCTAGACTAGGATCTTAGCTATCAAAAAAGTAAGCATTTGTGATGCCCCATCATAAAAACATTTAGGACCCAAAATAGAAATAAATGGAAGGAGGCTCCTGCAGTAGCAATTACACAAAATTGTGTCAAGTTTGGCTCCCATGTTTTGATGGACATTAGAGATGTAGGTCCAGATGTCCAGATGTACTGGAGAAACAAAGAAAATAATCTTATAATACTAGCTTTAAGCAAGAGATGGATACTTCAAATAAAATCTTCCTTTTCTGGGGCAACAACTCTTGTAAGAGGAAGGTAAGGTCTCCCCAAGTAACCTTTTTACTTTCATAAAGATATAGGACACATTTCTCAACCCAATAAGCTATCGAGGTCACCTTGATTTATACCAGCTAAGGATCTGGTCCTGCATAAATCAGTTAAGCCAGTCAGTAATTAAAGAAAAATTTAAAATATTGGGGAAAAAAAATTTCATTTAATATTTTGTCTTAATAAATTATGAGAAAACATTTTATCTAGCTGTTTACTAGATACAGGCAGAATAAATGTAAAGGCATATTATATGGCAAAAGGAACCATGCTATTAAAATGTTTCTTTTTAGCCTACAAATTAAGGTGGTACAGTATAATCTAAATAAACAATTATGGTAGTAAATGCATTTAGAATTTCTGTAGAGATATGCAGTTATCTAATAATTTATGTTATTTGATGGGAATTGCATTTCAGCATTTGTATAGTTTAGTCTAAATTTGTATAATTTATTCCAAAGAGATTAAAGGCTGCAAAAGGGTAGCTATCTTCCTCTGTTCTGCTGGATAAAGCAGCAAGGTACATGTCATTATATTCTGACAAGAAAAGGCAGACCGAAACCATACATGGATTTAAATTCA